GACTTAGAAATCATATAACTTGGTTTCATAGTGCGGTAAGAAGTTGCAGTTGCCTGACGGCCCCTCTCTGGGGGCCTCTTTGGAAACCGTCTCATCTCGCTCGCACCACTTGTGTTTACTGCCTAGTCAGGTGACGTTATCGGCGCTATTTTTAGCAGGGCTTTCCCGAACAATTCAAGTGGTCAAACTGGACATTTGGAACGGACTATGAATATGGGGATAGCGTGGTAACATAAGTGGAAGTGCATACAATACATACATTCATTAAAAAAAACACGCCTTTTCACGTGATATCCCTTTAACGTATATAAACTTTGATAAGATGTTTTCTAGTATGCCCCCCAGAATTACCGTATGCCGTCATAGTTGGTAACGTAACTAAACATTATCAAAGATACATGTACATTGTGGTTTGTCCCCTAGCTTTGCTGAGTGCCGCCATATTTGGTAATTTAACGTCTACCAACCACTAAGGTACATTGTGTTATGTTCCCCTGCTTTGCTGAGTGCCGACATATTTGGTAAAATGTAACGTCTACCAATCATTATGGTCCATTGTTATATGTTCCCCAGCTTTTCTGAGTGCGCCATATTTGGTAATTTAACGTCTACCAATCACTAAGGTACATTGTGTTATGTTCCCCAGCTTTGCTGAGTGCCCTCATATTTCATAATTTATAAAGGTACATTGTGTTATGTTCCATAGCTTTGCAGAGTGCCGCCATATTTCATAATTCATAAAGGTACCTTGTGATATGTTCCACAGCTTTGCAGAGTGCCGCCATATTTGGTAATTTATAAAGGTACCTTGTGATATGTTCCCCAGCTCTGCTGAGTGCCGCCATATTTCATAATTCATAAAGATACATTGTGTTATGTTCCCCAGCTCTGCTGAGTGCCGCCATATTTGGTAACGTTTCCTCCATCATGTTACGACTGTACCAGGGGTCTGACGAATTTCAGGAAAAAGTTGAAAGCATCAAGGAATTCATCAACTTCCATCAGCTTCCGAAAAACATGGCGGGCCGTCTTCAGGAATCCTTCCAACACCAGTGGGCGTATACCAACGGAATAGACATGAGTAACGTGAGTATACTTTTCTGTCATAAAGAAATGAAATAAAAAAAATCTGCTAGAGTTACGTCCCTTGCAATAAAAGGCTTTGTCGGAGTAAACGCATTAAAATATTGCAATTTGAAATTAATTAATTAATAACTCTTTAAAGTGAACAACTTACAAACAAACAACCAACAAAAAATAAAAAAATAAAAAAACACGCTGTCAACTCAGAAAACTGAAATACTATTTTTTTGTCACAGTTTTGCTTGTTTTTCACGTTTTCAATATACATGTAATGTGAAGGCTTACCAACAACATAAACTATATTTTACACCGTCACTACTGTGTAACAATTTTGTTTGTATCCTTTTCAAACGAAATATTCCACTAAGATCACACGTTGCTATGCATTTCACAGAACTACATTTATTCGAAATTTGAATGTTTGAAAATAGAAATAAAGATGAAAAAAAATACGAAAATTATTCAGGGTCGAACTCATGACCTTTACAATTAAAAGCCTGCGCTTCACCAATGTTGGCCTACGGGAATTATAGAAGCACCCCATCAAAATCCATGTTTAATTTATAGGCCGCAAAGCATTAGCCAGGACAACGTCATTATAGTTGCTTCATCTTTCATATAGAAGGGAAAATACTCTTAGTAAAAATAAAACACTTAGTGGAACTCTTCAGCTCGATTTTAACAGATGGTACATTTATCCTTAATTTTATAGCACGATATTTATATTTTAATTTTGTGCATGCATTTGTAGATGCTAGTGTATATCTGTTGTACTGTATAAAAGAAACGGAGCTCACGTATTTTGTCATTTTCCTGGGCCTCTACTCGCCCTTAATAAAGCTGAATATGTTTAAATATACCAGAGAAGCTAAGCTTACCGTGGATTGGCAGCGTGATGTACGAAAATCGAGAGAAAGTCGTTCAGGCGGTTATTTCTCTAAAACATTTTATAGAGAATTTCCTCTTTCATTTCCTAGTGTCACTGAAATAATGATCTATGAGTTTGAACTGCTATCTCGTCTTCTCCCGCGAGACTTGATAAATTCGCTAATCATGAATTTGAAGGATAACCGGAAAAGTTTATTTTTTTCTTTTCGCTTTCGTAAAGTTTGATATACAGGTTTGCTTCGGTTTAGCCGTCAAATTAGTGAATGCTTTTCTCCGTTGCATATACTAGATTTTACTCGTATTCAAGGTCAGATTCGCGTAAAAGCTTAATGACACTCCGGCGTATAGGACTCGGAAAGCAAGCGTTTAGCTGAGACAGATAATTATTTTACTAAATTAGAGTTTTGATGCATTGCTATTCAGGTGGTAATTAGGATGCAATTTTAAATCGTTATATATGGTTTCCACGCATGAAAAGACGAATTTTAATGCCTTAATAAGACTTAGGAAATACAGAAAAAAAGTTATTGTGCCTCATATATTAAAATATTCTATATACAATGTGGCATCTAAATGGTCTTAATCTGCGTAAATATATTTGCTATGGTAATATGTACCGTTTAAACGAAACGTATTTGTCAATTTATACATTTTCCGCGAGGACATACAAGTAATAGCCATGGAAACAGAACAAACAATAATACGCAATGGCATTTTTACATTATTTAGTGTTTAAACTATAAGTCACTTGAAAAAAACATTTTATTCATGCAGTCGCATGTGTAAGTGTGTTTAATTTTATTCTATGGAGTCAGCATAGGATGAGAGCTTCCACGTCGTAAATAAATAGACATAGTAGTCTGCTTAACTTTACACTTATAGAAACGAAGTTAGGATTCTCTTTTGTGTCACGATCAATTAGCAAAATAAAGCATTAAGGTAAAATTTGTTGATTTAGTTCAGTTTCAAATAAGTACCAATAACCCAGGTGCGGGTTCGAACTGATAAATTAAAGATTATTTACACATTAATAGCTATTTTTAAATATTTATATCAGAATTTGGATTTTAAAACTTGAATTTATGTGTCATTGAGCAAATAAAGCTAGATACAATAAAATATGTTTCGAAACAACTGAACAACTTTATACATAAAGGATAGGATATTAAATTCCCCATATCCAAACCCTTATACGCTCGATACCCTAATACACGTATCACCCCAACAACTTTAACTTAATACATAGCGAATATGAATGAATTTATCGTTTGCATACCCCTTATCAACCCGAGACCCCAATATCACCCTAACAACTTTATACAACTGAAACAATATGATACATATTGCGAAAATAATAGACTTTGTCCATAGTATACCCACTATCAACCGGAGACCCCAATATCACCCTAACAACTGTATACAACTGAAACAATATGATACATATTGCGAAAATAATAGACTTTGTCCATAGTATACCCAATATCAACCGGAGACCCCAATATCACCCCAACAACTAAAAAACAACTGAAACTATCGTATATATAGTGAATGTGATATGCATACCCCTTATCAGCCTTAGTCCCAACTATCACCCCAACAACTCGATACAACTCGATACAACTGAAACAACTTAATACAACTGAAACAGCTTGATACAACTGAAACAGCTTGATACAACTGAAACAACTTGATGCAAGTAAACACCTTCATTATTATGACGTCATAATTGTTACGACGGATGCTGCTGTCCCTCCTTGACAGATGGACAGCCCCTAGAACTGCCAAAAAACTGTAGCAATGCAATGGAAACTGCTTGTTTCTGGCATTATTAGAGCAGTGATATATTTGTTTTTCCGGAAAACTGTACCTTACGGGACTTTGTGAACAAACTATGAAGATGAAAATATCAGAAAACAATCAACAATAGTGTTAAAAATCAGCGGGTTTAGGCCGGAATTCGAACCACGAGCCTCAGATTGTTATAATCTCGACCTTATCAACTGAGATACCAAACAAATGTAGGCAACGGAAGTATCTTTTCCAAATTCCACTTCAGTTATATCAAAAACGACATTAAGGGGAGGTTACTGTGTATACGAAAAACCACAGAAAAACCCTAGTATTTTAGGAACAGGTATCCTTAAATGCAATCCGCTAGTTACTGATGTTCTGTTGTTTGTATTGTATAGGTGTTGAAAAATTTTCCCGACTGTCTACAGTCTGACATATGTCTGCATCTTAACAGAACTCTCCTCAACAACTGTCCGGCTTTTAAGGGAGCTAACCCAGGTACGTACACAGTTATCGATCCTGTCTCTCACCCTATTTTTTTAAGGATTCGTGTGCCACTGCCAACAATGTAACCCTGCACCGGAAACCCTATTTCCAACATGGTTATTCCGTCTTTGCGTATTGCAGAGTTATCTTCTCTTATGTGCATGTATTGATTGTTACGTCATTTGTTTTTGAGAGTAACGTCATCAATTTTTGAGAAAACGACGTAATTTTCTCACACAAACCAATGACGTAACAATACCTGCTCACAAGATAACTCTGCAATACGCAAAGACAGAATATTTGATGTATCATTTCTTAAAAGGCCTAATCATTGCTTTGACCCAGCGCAATTGCAGTTGCATACCAAGAAAATTAAAGAAAGGTGTTTACTTTGCATGGATAACTACGATGGAATTTCATAAGTACACCTGTAATTCGACATTGATTTCTCTGTAATATCAAGTATGTAAACCTCGGGGTAGTGTTTTTAATAAAAGCTGTAAAGTGAGAATTCTGAATTCAAATGACGTGCACTCTTTAAGGTAATCAAGCCAACAATGTTAACTATATGATTATCTTTGTCACTATTTTGAAATATTTGCTGAAGTTATATTTAAGAGAGGTTTTCAATAAACATCACGAGCTGCGATTCATTTTAATTACGCTGTGATTTAATGCATATGACGCATGATTGGCAAATTATGATATGTGGTACATGTATATCTCTTATGACTTAAGATTTTTGACGCATACAATCTTGAACTCATTACTTGCGACGTTTAACTTTTGTCATAAGTTTTATGACTTGTGACATATCACTTATGACTTATTCCGTCTTTTCGTATTGCAGAGTTATCTGCTCTTGTGTGCAGGTATTGATTGTTACGTCATTTGTTTGTGAGAGTAACATCATACATTTTTGAGAAAACGACGTAATTTTCTCACACAAACCAATGATGTAACAATCAATACCTGCTCACAAGAGAAGATAACTCTGCAATACGCAAAGACGGAAAAGGGCACAGCTGATAAAACATTATTTAGCATTTATGAGCACGAATTATGAATTTATGTTTTTAACGTACATTAATTTATGCCATAAGACTTGAGACACGTGATTTGTGTTTGTTTATAACTCGCAAGTGTTGACATTTTTCATACATTTTGATATTTCTAAAATATTTGTTTTAGGCTGTTTACGTGCCTTATCAATGAAGTTCAAAACTACGCATGCGCCACCTGGGGACACTCTCATACATCCGGGTGATATTTTGACCGCCATATATTTTATAGCACGTGGTTCTATAGAAATCCTGAAAGAAAACACCGTCATGGCCATATTAGGTAAGACTACGTCAATATGTGCATACAATATCATAATAGAAGATTTTATTATAAGCGGAACCTGACTTTACCGTCAGCAAGATGTTCTCATCTATTTTAACGGAAATCACATTGTGTCCGAGATTAAGCTACAAGATCATGTTAAAGTCCGAGATTTAGCTACAAGGTCGTGTTGGTATTTTATAAAACCTTTTTGGTTGTTGTATCTTTTTATTTATTTTTTTATATAATTTTTTTTTTGTGGGGGGGGGGGGGGGGGGGGATATCATCAAGTTAGATAGTACATCGGTTGTCCAGTATTCACTTATTCTTCAGGATATTACAGTAACAAGTAGGGTTGTCAAATAGGACGAATTTTAGTAACCGGTTACTCAAAACAATCTTCCTACGTAGTAACAGGATATTCGGCCAGTCTGTTATCAAAAAATAAATAAAAAAATGTATAGTATGTTTAGCTAATGTTTTATTTGAAACGTATTCACAATTATTTAATATATATAAGATAACAAGATATTTTATCCACGTATCTGAAGTCCTCAATAAATGACCGCAGAAAATACGGACCACTTGGTTCAGAAGAAACTCGATTCAACGCATGTTATTTCTACTCGAACGCATAAGCGGAAATATTGTTCTTCAGAACATAATTTGACATACGAATTGACTAATTGATAATTGCACCTCTGCAATTAGACAAATGTGTACTCTTGAGATTATGCTTTTACGTCTCACTACTTAAAGCGAGTTCTACGACACAAAGTTGGCATTTCACAACCTTTGGCTTACTTTTAAAATCTGTTTAGACCTTTTATGTTGTTGGCACCTCACCAAATACATGTATTGTTATTTTCTGTGATTTCCAGGGAAAGACGATATATTTGGAGCAGACATGAAGGATGCGGCTACTCCTGGAAAGTCCCTGTACTTCGTTCGAGCGCTGTCTTACTGTGACATCAATAAGATTGAGATGGAAGACTTGAAAGTGGTGCTGCAGACGTACGAGGACTTCACGACAGAGTTCATGGATAAATTCCAGGTCACCTTCGACGTCAAAAAGGTACTCTTAAAACCATATCGTGCAGGTGTTACAATAAAGCTTCGCCCAAAATTGTCAGGTGTCAAACACATGAGTCGCATTTAAAAAAGCAAAATTAAAGCAAAAAATATTGGTGTCAAAAATTCAACTTTAAATGATAAAGTGTCAAAAAGTCAGAACTGAAATGTCTTTAATGGACAAATGTGGAAAATGGTTGCTAGAGAAGATGCAAATAGTCGCGGATCAAAAAGCTATATTGTAAATTTTAAATGTCGAAGCACCTGAAAGGGAAAACTCATAAACTGCACGTGTGTCACTATTGTAATATTTAGATTTGAAAGGATAAGGCGTTGAAAAATGAAAAGTTCACAACTATATGTACCATGTTTAACCAATGTAGAACTAGAAGGCAAATTGAATAGGTATGTATGTGTGCCACAAAAGGAAATCTCAAGCTTAATAGTTGTCATAAGTTTAGAACTTAAACTTAAAACGCCAAGGCATTGCAAAGGGAAAGCCCGATTTACTTTAATAGATAAACATAAAATGTCAGGCGTTGAAAAAAAACAAAGACTTAAACATTTCTAAGTGAACGAAAAGACTGAAAATCTCGTTCACCCATTCACCCCTGAAATTTCATAATGAACTAGTCCAACCTTTGAATGGGAAGAGTTCAAAGTTTCTTCAGGGGTGAATGAGTTAAATGACCAAGTGCCATAAACTCAGATTTTAAACAAACTGACGCCAAATCGGTTAGCAAAACAATTTTCAAGTCATTAAAAAGCCAGCAGTAATGTAAAGTGCAAACTTAATGAATCCCGTGTCAGTCTGTAAATTGTATCTTTAAACCTTGTTCGGACTCAACAGAGATGCTAACAAAATGGAAGACTGTTTTTATTCCATGACGTGTATGCTATTCTCACGAGCTTAATACCTGGACATGACCGCAGAGATATCCCCGGAATTTATCAGGGATACATTTTCACACGCGATGCTAGGTTTCTTGATATTTGATTGGTATGGCTCAATAAAAAATTAAGTTAGACTGACCGTATTTGACTTAAAATGCCTTGGATTATGTAATTAGCTGGCGGAAATGTTACGTTGTATTAGTGGTTTTGAATTCCCCAAGTATCTTTTAGAAGGTAAAGACAGATAGCATGGCGGCGACAAGATAAATGTAGTTATGTGTGATGTTGATGTGAACTGCTGTACGGAGGCGCATCCGCGTGGCGCTTCTAAATGACATTAGGCACTGAGTAGAATCACGTAATCGAAGTATACATTTCAAAGCCGCAGATTCGTATTACATTATATGGAAATCTTGTCCTTCCGATTTGTAGACAGAGTTTCGAATTTACTTTAACAACATTTTCTCCTGGTTTCGATATCAAAACAAGTATACATTGAACTAAATTGATCTTGATAGAAATCGGAATGTAATCTTGGCGCGGAAGTAGCAGACGTCATGGATTATTATAAGTTTAACGTGGTAACAAACACGGAAATGGAAGAATTGTCAAATGTGATATGCACGACGATTACTTGAAATCCTTAAATCCCAGACTGTTAGGAAATGGAATCAGCGACTGTCACAGAGAGGCCTCACACAGGGTTTCTACGCGGCGCTCTATTTCTGGTTATACATTATCAGAAGAAATTGTTTAGTTTAGTTGAAAATTACCACATTTTATTTCAACATGAATATATGGTCTTATTCGGGTCCCAATTACGTGGTGTTTCATGGAACGAACGTTAGTAATTTTTATAAAAGTCCGATTGCAAATTGATATTCGTTTTATCTTACAACATACCCTACGAAGTAAAAAGTTCGAAACATGGTGATGTTTCCTTTCACTTTAAAAGTGATGACGTCATTATTTGGATAGGATGATTTCACTAGATAATATTCAGATCATTAAATGATTAGAGCGGTTTTTTTTTACAAGATTCAGACATTCAAAGTAAACTTGTGCCCCTGTGTGACGTCACTGTATTAATTGACGGATACGAATGCACCTATTATGAAAGAGATTTCCCTTTAATCAATTCACTTTGATGAGAAATGATTTTTTCGCTAATTTGTAAAGAGAATCATACGCAAATTAATGGTGTTATGTTTGCAAATACTCTTTCCATTCATCATTATTAGTCATACATTCATTGAAAAAGCGAATTCTCAATCGAAAATTGAAGTTTCCTCCAAAAAAGACATGTAGTTCGAAAAACAAACATCACATAATAATAAAACTATTTACAGTATCGAGAAATTTCGAAAAAGACCCGGAATGTTTGATTAATAAAAACAAAATACATGGTCAGGTAGTAGATTATCAGCATCAATACACCTAACCTTGTTCTAAGGTTATTTTATAATGAGTGATCTTTCCAATTAGAAAACATTGCTTTGAATCATATGTTCAAGAGTATTTTTGAACTAGGGCTTTAGTGGAAAAGGTTTATCTTGTTGCTTAAAGTGTCTATCTAGATTGAAGGTACTCTGCTGTTTGTAACGGTATTGCCCTCATCGAGCACTCCTATATATATGTGGGTAATCGAACGCGCCTTTAATGTGTTGATGTGTAATATGTCATCAATAATGTGAACTCTGACTCCACTCTCCTAAATACACAAGATCGAAGCAGACCCGTGCGTCTTTAGTGTTTTATTTAATCTGTTAGCGATGTCAGGCAACAGACAACGCTACATTGTTAATGTTTGTATCTTCACAGAAAACATCAACCAATAAGCTTCCTAAATTACGAAACGTTCTGAGAAATAAAAAAGGGAGAGTGTACATAAATGTGCAAAACAATTGACACTCAATCTCAAAATCGATGAGACTAGCGTAAAATATGAAGAAGGGGATGATTAACTAGTAGAATATTGAAACCCGAGAAAAAGGTACTAGGAAAACAAGACCTGGCCCTGAGATCCTGAAACGATCTTAAGTTTAAAATTGTCTTAAGTTTGGACTTATCCGATCACAAATAACGTCATGAAAAGTGACCTTATATTTAATTGACGGAGCAAAAGCGTAAGTCTAATATTGTTTTAGGGTTAGGGTTAGGGCAAGGTGTTCCGAAAAGATAAACATCTTCTGAATCATCTTCATCATATCCTTTTCTATCTGTTTAACATTTATTAATTCTGTTCTTTTCTCTCACTGTCTGTCAAACCTCGTATCCCAATCGTATGGCTCTCAGGAAGTCTTATTTCTATGTGTGTTCTACTGCGAGGTCGTTAGAGAAACTAACATTGATCTGCTGCCCCGTGGCAACACTTGGAACATCTGTATTTCTTGTTTCTCTTACTTTCCCCCCATTTTTTGTAGCCTATGCCGAGGCTCATGTCTGTATATGATCTTTGTCATTGCGAGGACATTTAACTTAGAAAACAAAATTGTTACTAAGGTGAAAACATGTTTTAAACAAAAAAATACCTGTTTCTGGTACAGGACGCAGGTCCTCTCAACTTGAAGACTATGGGCAAGTTTTATTGTCGATATCATGATTTCATAGTGACATATGCCATTCCTTTGTGAGATATGAAGGTCGATGTTTTTGACTACGCTCGTTAGAGTGCCTTGTGGTTTGGTTGTCACTTCTCGAGTTATCGATGTGACATAACTGAGGTTTGATCTAGATTTACTTGGCGGGTAGTGCCGATGAAGCAGAAGACGCTTACTCTACAGGAACACCTGTTCCTATTTTTCTGGTTTATTTTCAAAGTTTTTCATGTAAATTTTTCATTTGCTCATATTTTGCCCAAGTTTTATCGATTTTGAGTTGACACTTCGATATATTCGTCTTTTTCTTGACCCCACTGCATTTGAAACAGAATAACTACAATTGCTCAAGAACGGTGTGGAAATGTTCGTGTTTTTGCGTTGAATTAACCAATATAATGATCAACATGTAAATATATGTTGATAGATTATATAGATCATAGGTATACAGGAGGTGTTGATTTCTAAACCTCTGCTAACGCATAAACACGCGAAAAATTCAAAGTATTCTTCCATTTCTATTACATTGATATGCTTAGGATTAAAAACCCTATTACAAGCTATATGCATTTATTCTTTGGAGCTTTCAAATATTTGTATATTAGAAGTGAAAATATTTAATTATATGAACGTTTTTGCAACGTGTTCTTATTTTGTAGGTTACACAGTGTACATTATCAATACGATGTTTGACTTTGCCATCACGTGACATGCGAGTGTGTTATGCAATACTGTCTTAATTAATTGTAGTACATATGCTTTATTTGATGAAAGACGACTCTGCCAGACAAATCAATACTATAGCTGAATCATTTCTATCCCATCATGCCGTGCTTTAGACTGTTTGATCTAATACAACAAAACATGCACCCCTGCAACGTGCATTAAAACTCCAAAGATATCCAAACAATTTCATTAAATTTTATTCCAAAAATTTAAAATAGGAAAACTGAGCTGACGAATTATATCTTAACAATAAAGATTTCGTTAAGATGTGGTGTTTTGATATTTAATGCATGCACGCTCGCGTGTTTAGATAACAGGTATTGTAGAATTATACAATTTCGTGATGAAATCTAATAAGCGAAGACATTACAAAATAACGACAGTTGTCCGCCTGTTGTAGAAGATATATAACACTGTATCAGCAGTAGAATTTTCGTATTGCTTCCTACTAAGAAATTGTATTGTTACTTGAAATAGAACTAGTTGTGAAAACGATCTGTTTATCTTGTATTTGGTTCTGATCACATTTCGAACTCATGACTTGGTAGCGATGTTTTCATGAACGTTATGAAACTGCTGGAGTTCTGGGGATAACATCAAACTCTGATACAGATCTCTTCACAACAAGTGTAACTTTTACACGATGCTTGAAAGATCTTCATGAGTCTTGATGATCACCAATTATGCCGGGGGGTCGTCAAAATTCAATCACGAAAGATTGCGATGATAAGGGAAACCATCGCGTTCCTCCGCGATCGGTACGCTTAAGATCACGAAAAGTCAGCAAGACCCACCGTGTTCACTGTGCTCACTCAGGCGAGATACGTCGATCTCTATTTACCTGGGAAAATGATATGCCAGGAGATGAAGATAAGCTTAAGTCAGTGGCGTTTCTTTTGATAATGTTTTATCAATTTAATTACTATAAAAGCAAAACATACATACAGAAGTAAGAGAAATATGTATTTTACGTATCTAACATTCAAATGGTATTTGTTAACTAACTAAAATGCATTTCTCATTTCCTTTCCTTTCTATGGGTGTCATAAATTACCGCTACATATGAGCTCTTAAATAACCATCTATTTCCATGAATCTTCACAATGTCGGCTTTATATCAGTCTTATATAATACATTTTGATCTCGTTTTAATGAAAACGCGAAAGTGAAAGTTTGGCACATCAAAAGTAATGTTACGATTTATTTCATCTTTGAACATACAAGTTATACCAGGGAACAACACCAAAGTAATGTAACGATCTATTTCATATTTGAACATACAATTTATTCGTTCTTTGTCTCCCTTATCCAATACAAGAGGAACACAGCTCGATAAAAAATATATAAGTTAAATTGTCTCAATTGTTTTATTTTAAAAGAAAATAAATAGAAATAATTGACAACAGTGTTCTGAGTTTAAAAATGTAACGAGATTGGGCCAGGATTCGAAATCTGAAGCTCTGACACAGTCCATTGATCAAAACCAAAGATCTGTTCAAATATTATTTTATAAAAACATAGTGTTCACCAAAAGTTCGATACATAAGAACGTTGCAAGATGCTGGATCTGCAGATGTCTCAATATTAAGCGAAAGAAATATCGATTTCTGAGTTCAATATTTACATAGATTACCCGATTTAAGACTGGGATTTTTTTTATGCTTTAGGGAACATTACTCCAGCGGAAGAGCAGACCAAAGATGGAAGACGAGACGTTGAGATTCATACGCCAAAAACGTCCACGGCTACAGTGTAAACGCCGCAGGTTGGATGGACACGGTAAAACATATGAAAATCTTTGGAAATTTTATTTAATGATTATAACTAGTTGAACAAATCCTTCCAATTAAATTCGTTTAAGCAATGCATTGATAGAATAATCTTTAAATAATTCATAAAACCCCATTAATATTTAAATAACTCTTAGGAAAATCAATCATGTAAATGTTGGACAGCCACCCCTTGTAGGATGGTAAAGTCATTGGAAGTTCAACACCTGATAAGTCATCAAAAGACTCCGGTTAAACACCAGAGTTCATCTATGCAATTTTGATATACTTTAGTATTGAATATGTTGTTTAGTTACTAAAATGTTACATAACGACATTAATTGAGACTGTTATACTGTAAATTTCATAAAAATAGTTCATCGGCATTATTTTACGTCAAAGTCATTTTGACAAACAAAATGAATGGCATATTATCTAAAGCTTACCTAGGTCATGCGGAGCTTAATATGTTTTTGACAAGCGGTGAAGTGGTATACCAGCCGGCTTAAAACCAAGATATATTTGACTACGTGAAACCATCAAAATCGTAGTAAAATGTCGTGGTAACATGTTTTAACGGTATTTGTATTTAAAACATAGTAGGAAATACAAAGTGTGCCGCTTACTTGTAAAACCAAAAATGTTATAAAATGGCACATCGTTTAAAGTTCCTTTAGGAATCTAGGTAACTAAACCGTTCACAATCTACTAAAATATATAATGGGGAAGTTTTATTATATTTCAGTGGTTTCCTGTGACAATAACCATTTTACTTTAAGGCTCCAAACTGCTAGTGAAAAAGAATTAAAACACCGAAAAACTTCGGTTAATAAAATATATTATTTCAAAGCATACAGGTAAATATGGGAGGCAAATATTGACATTTTATAATATTGCTGAACTATTTTTGTTAAGAATTCAAATCTATCTGGCTAATTTGCAAATGTCGCTATGTAACGTTTTAATTAAGAACAAGCTCATTGTTTCCGTTTTACATATCTGAATTCTGATGTCGGTTAATTGAGGTCTTCAAATATGGCTTATCAGAGGACTGTTGCTCGGGTTGAACATACTGTACCATCCCTTTGAGTGATGGTTAAACCTTTATGACAATGAATAAATCATTTGGAAACAAACTTATTGCGTTAATGCATGTAATAAATCACAATCACAATGTAAACAAATTAGAAATTTGTGTATACATTGGTACGTAGACAAATGTCGTTTTTCAAAACTTGTATAAAGATAATTATTGCAGAGAAGCAACACTTGCATATCGGTTTGAGCAACATAACAAAATCACTTTGTTCGAACTTAACGGTACATCTATAGACAATCACAATAAAAAAAACACTGCAGTTCTATGGGCATTATTTTAGTCATGACCTTGACCCGTATTCATGAAACCGTTTGCATGCTTCTCAAGCATGGATTTTGTGCTCAAGTCTAAGCTCTTGTTTCAGTTTGAAATTAAAAAGAAAAAAATGATTTTATAAGAATTGAAAAGAATTAAAGCCCAATACTGTTTTAAATGTTTACATCTGACTTTTTGATATGTTTTATGTTAAGAGAGTCACAATGAAGTTGAATTGAGCGATGAATTCATGATTGTCCATGATAACAGTTTTATGAATACGGGCCCGGCTATTAAAATATCAGTAGGTCTATAAGAAATCTTTATTTCTTAGACCTGTTGTCTGCTGTGTGTAAATCTTAAATTCTAAGAATTAGATCATTGTCGATAAATAACAAATCGTTGCAAATAAGTATTAAAATTACGTGAGATTATTGTCATTCTTGTAGAAATGTAGTAATGCACCCTATGATTAGAATCATTTTCCTTTTTAAGTAACGAATAGAGCCTTGTGACTTTGCCCCCAGACACCGGAACTTATTGAACGTCGCGTATTGTTCATGTTGTCTATATATGGAATAATAAGTAGGGAGGAGATTATTACCGGAAGTAACCTGATGGACAAGTCGTACTTCCATCATCAAAACATTCCAGTCAAGACGATGTTTTTTGTGATCAGTTCAAATCAATTACTAGACTCGTCTGATTTGCGCCAAAGACACAGTCGGTGATGATACCGGAACTTTCGCGAAACATTCCGGAAGTTTTTGAAATTATTACGGGAAATGTTCCGATTCATAAGTTGCATCCCATTGAAAACCCAAATCATATAAAAAGCTGATGTTATATCGATTTGTGTTCATTAGTGGCGCGTCTCTACTTCCGCTGGAGACAGCAGTGATCGTAAACCGGAAATTCATCGTAAAATTTACGGAAATGATGAGACATGAAATCATGAATCGAAAGATCTAAGATTCATTTGACATTGTATGCGTATCTATATGTATCTACATGCAGAGAAGCGTGTTAGTGATTGATTCTTTTTTACCAGGGCGAACTAGTTTCCGAAGGAGACACGGTGATAGGAAAATAGGTACTCTGGCGGAAAATTCCGGAAGTGACGACGACAGGCCAGGGATTGTAGAAATGTCGGCGGAAGGTGCGATTGATGATGAAGCTGATCCGACAACACAGGAAGTGACAAGAAAAAACTCGATGGGTTCAATTGCAGGTAAACAACTTTTTAGTCTCATTTACACGGTTTCTATCTACATCAATGCTTTACTAAAATATTGCGATGCATTTTTGAAAACTATGTATTATAAATCATATTATATTAAGAAATTTGCAACTTATACGTCAAACTTAAAAGCATCTTAAAAGCTTTTTGAAAACGGATGACCCCTTTTATTGTTTAGAACCTTAATTGATTTAAATTTACAAGAGACAAAGTGGAATGAAATAGAAAGAAAAACAAAAAACAAACCAACAAAACGATTCATACGAAACTAAAAAAAACAAGAAAAAAGCATCGATATTATAAATTGATACGAAACTAAAGTAACAGGAACTGCGGAGACATACAAAAAGGGGAAAAAATACCAGGAAACAAACAAAAGATAAAAATATACAAAAATCAGTACAAATAATGGTTATTACAACAACAAACCGATACATACATTAACTAAAAACAGATACAGGGCTTTATTAAGTTTGTCATCACTAGCAATGTGTGTTATAGGACCATAACAACATTTGCTAAAACATTCATTGTTTAAGTAATATCTTATAATTTATATTTAGAGGCACGATAGTCTAGTGGTAGGACGAAAGGCTCGTGACCGAAGGAGTGCGTGTGTGAGTCACGGCACGGCACGGCACTATGTTGTATCTTTGAACAATATACGTTACTCTGCTTGTTCCAGTCTACTCAGCTGTAAATGAGTACGTGGTTGGGAAGTGCTAGAATTGTGGAATACTAGCTGTGAGCGCCGAAATGGCAGCACGGGCTGTATGCTCACCAGAGAGTTGATACAGATATTGGCTTATAACAAATACCCTTTAACCACGGATAATAATTTGTGAACCGCTAGGTTGTGATTAAGCGGTATATAAGAACCTCGAATTATCATTGTTATTATTAATTTCAGTGATGACGAATTTCTTCAACGCGGTAGCTAATAAAGCGAAGAAGGATAAACTGTCTAAACGATCTATTTTACAACGTTCACATGGCTACGCTCCAAAATACGACGTCACATCGAATGGACTTGCGTCACAGCACCAGGGTCTATCACCAATTGAGTCCAGTGTGACGTCGTACACTCCGAAGTCGCTGTCTAGCTCAGGACCACAGTGGAGATTTTCCAACATCGAGTTTGAGATCCAGCAACATCCGGACAAAGGCAATCTACAAAGTCTCAACGACATCGACACCAGGCTAGAGGGACTTAACGAGTTAGTATAAACTGAAATATGTTATTGTATGGGTTTAGGTTTGTTACCTAACATTTAAGTATGATTACAATTTATCTAAAGGAAATTTGTCTTAATTTTGTCTTCTTTTTATCTCATGCTTCAATATAAAGTCATTCCTGACTCTTTTCTTTTCTTTCATGTTTCAGACGAATGAACAATTTTGAAAATGAACTATTTAATACAGTTGACGCTATACTTGATATACTTGGACACAAGCCAAGTTGTACACGTGACACAGTCGACCAATCAACGTCCAGCGCAACACAGATAAAAACCATAGACCGACCACCTCGTCCGAAGGGGGCAAGACTGATAAAGAACGCCACTGAACTACAGAGGGTGATAGAAAATATGTGAAGTTTTATTACGTCAGAGCAATCGAAAAATCTTGAGGATATAGAAGTATTGATTGTTTCTGCTGTTGTGCCAATAGCTGAAAGAATGCGAACATGTTTGTTTGATTTCAAGAAGGTTATACTGTTATATTGCGTACTGAGCTTGAAATCATATTGTGATTTGGTATACATATTCGAATACAAATCAATATCTGTTGTTAATATTTATTTCAGTAATACCATATAATGGGCAACTCAGCAACACTGTTGGTCGCCGTTCAGTCCTGCGTCAAAACTTTGTGTTGACTAGATGCTATTTCCTCAAAGACTGTTGGCCTTGTAAGGCGTGTGTACACCTACAGTATCATTCATATGATTTCTGAACGTATTGTTTAAAATTGATGTTGATATAATGAAGTTTAAGTTCATATATATACATATGTATCGGATCTAGAGATTTAGCTTTAGAAATACAGAATGGTTATGTACTTTAAAGATGAATTCTCCGTACAGCACTTGCGCACGCAACGACATTGTGTTTGAACAGCATGTGTATTTGTTGCAGTTCTAGAACAGATATTTAGTATGAATGGTAAGAAAGTGGGAAACCGGAAGAGATATTTAATAATTGATGTATGTTTTTTCTAAATAATTGCTATGAGCGAGAGTGTTTTAACTAACATTATCTCAAACCAAAGTACAGTAAAACCTCGTTTTAATGCCAATCAGTTTTATTCTCCAATATTTTGCCATCATAAATGGTTATGGCGATATAACGATTTATGAGAATGCATTATAGTTAAAAAAGGAAAAAAGAGAAATTTTAACTGTAAAAGAGTTTTACAATGAAAGAAATGGTGGTTTATCGAGATATTACTGTATTAACGAAATTAAAGATCGAACGTAAAAGTCTGACGTACAGAGAATATTGAATCGCAAAATGTTGATTTGAAGAGTTTGAACAATTCTGTAGCGAGGAGAGTCATGCTAGGAACTCCCTATTTGGGAGTTAGTGTTTATATGACCTTTTAAAATGTAAATCTGTGTACCATATATGTAATTTACATAAAATCCTACAAGTTACATTTATGTAGTTATTGTAATTTTATCTACATAAAACCATGCAGAATAAGATAATGTGTAGATAAAATCTACATAAATATACAAGATGTTAGTGAGGTAATAATAATCTACATACCACCCTGCTGGATAAAATAGTGTTGTATGTTTGATCTACATAAAACCCTCCAGGATTAAATAATGTTGTAAGGATAAACTACATAAAACGTTTAACATAACAAAGTTATATATGTGAAGAATTTATAACCTACATAAACCAATAAGAAACAGAGTTATGTCGTATGTTAAATCGTTAGAAAAACACACTCTGAAGGATGAAATTAATAAAAAAAATACGTAACTTATCTAAAATCTACATAAAACTCAATTCATATGGTTGTAGTATATATCATCTTCTTGTACACAAAACCTTACAAAATAAATCAATATTAAAATCAATTAATATGTGTGCAGTATAAAATATCGTCAAAAACTCCAAAGGATGAAATAAGATTATCTACATGTGCATAAACCCTTCAAAATTTTGTTATTTATTATGAAATTCTGGATATTTGTGATGTATATATATATAATCTACATAAAACCCGGCAGTATAAAAAGATTTTAGTATATATAATGTACATATATCTAGCGTGTGGTTACCTGTTTTCGTCCAGCAGTTTAGTCCCTGATCAAGTTGTATACTTGATACTGTGTGAAGCAATAATAGATTAGCTCATGACGTGTGTCCGTCAGTACGCGTCCCATGTGATTTAAATAAACTTATCACCCCTGCAAATTCGTAATGAACCATTCCAACCTTTGAATTGGAAGAGTTCAAATGTGTCTTCGGGGTGAATAGGTTAAGGACATATATAGTATATTTTCGTCACATTTATGTACAGGCTACGGCGTAGATATCAACAACATTTTTGAATACTCATTTGGCAGTTTGGAACACCTTGGTGTCTTCCAAACCTTCTAGAAATTCATTTCTGTACATTTTCAGGATGTGTCGTGAGAAACAGTTTTCTCATCGCAAGCACGTGGATACAATTTTGCGCTCTCTTGCGTTAGTGGCGTCTCGATTTAATCCACTGTGCTCTCAATTAGAAAAATTGTTCTCATAACAAACCCTGAAAATACAATGTGATAATATATAAGTTTATATATTACAGTTTTAGATTCGATAAGTTATATTTCATTTTTTATGTTGATAGACGTATTTTTAAGTTATACATTAGTTTCACAAAAACTTTTCTGAACTAATAATTACTTGAATTTTCAATATATAACCTAACGGGTTTAGAGGACAGTTCACTTCCGGAATTTAATAAAAAAAAGTTCTTTATCTCCTTTTGATTGTGTTGATAATAGACGTGACGTCATCAGTGTATGTTGTTATATAAATAGACCTTATACTGTTTTAGGCATGTGTGACACAGCGTCTTCATAAGTATTTGATTAGTTAAGTTATATGTACAGGAAACTGCGGTAGAGATCACCATTATGACGTCATGATGACGTAATGATGTTGTTAAACCGGTTTATGTGAATTTGCTGACGTCACAAATACATGTGAATAGTTTTTTTTGTCTGTGATATACATAGCAAGGTAATTCCTGGCCTAAATCATGTTGATGACGTCATATTTATATTGATGTCATCAACAAATCATTCCATGTTTCGTAAATTTAGTTTTTAAAAACATACCGATTTTGATTTATATAAGTTTAGTGTTGTCGACATTCATACTTTACTTTTGATATTAATTTCTATTTTTAGTCTTATTTGCATACCTGAGCTGTAAATGTTTTATAAATTTAGGGGATCGGAAATGTGTTTTTCTGATTTGCAATTGAAGGCAGATCTGATATGAAAATTTTCTTTGAGCATCTTGGACGTTTTCAATAACTTATACAAATCTGATGGCACTTAATACTTTCAGGTTTTGATCGATCGAGTATGTGTGTGTTATTGAAAAAACTCTAGGTGTAAATGTTAAGATTGTTTCGTTTTATAGTCTTGCAGATCACTTTAGTATTACCGGTGTTGTGTTATTTTGTGTTTTATGTAAACAATTTAAGTAAAAAATAATGATATTTTGTTCAATTCAACATTCAAAGTCAAATTACTGTGATCAAAATCATCTGTATTAAAACCCCTTACACACTTTTTTCACTCTTTTATGTTAGGATGTTACGTTTCTATAAATAATTTACGTTTTAAAAATAGGTTTTGTTTGCGATCTGAGTGACAATCACGCTTGCTTTCAAACAGTATTTTCAGACATCGATCAAACATTTAAACGAGCCAGAGTTTGGCGCCATTGAATATACTGAAAACTAGTTAGAAATATGTTGATATTCGTTGAATTTTTTTTTTCATGTTTTCATATTCATCGAATATCGTTGAAGTTATTGTTTCGGCATTATTCCCGCTGAAACATAATAGCACAATACATTTTGATACCAGCATACGTGTAACGGAAATATTTCTTTCATAGCAGATGTTTGAGGGACTAAAGAAAAGAAATGTATCCATCATTTTTATATAAGATTACGAGGAGTAAGAAACTAGCAGGTGGTGGATTATGATTGTACGTCATGTTTTTTGTTGTAAATATAGACATATTCCATTCTTATACCACCGTCCAATCGTGTTTACGGAAGTAGATATACGTTTTGTTATTCGTGTTGATTTGAATATTTATAAATATGTTTTGTATGTTGGTTTGTTTGTGTTGATTGTATGTACATAGGAGATATGTAAACAATGAAATTAAAAGTAGTTGTGTGTACTTATATACAGTTTTGAAGGAGAAAAAAATATTCAAGAAAAGCTACAGCTATTTGTCGTAATAATTAAATCTAATTGTGAAAATGGACACATGTCTCACTAAACGAATGGCAAATATATATTGTGATATTACAGTGTTTAGCTTTCAGAGTAACATCCGGGCTTTTATATCGTGCGTATGTGTACGTAGCAACTGTTGTTGTATTGGATCAAATAATATTTATATTGGTCGTAATTTTCCGTAATACGTCGGTGATTTCCGTAAAAAAATGACGGAAACAATTATTTACGACAATTATCTGGTGACGTTCTGGTAACTGCTGTCTGCTGTATATAGTTGTTGTGACGTCATGAATGCAACTGAAGCTGAATTAGTAAAACATCGAATAGTTGGTCAACAACAGGGAACCAATTAAAATATATAAAAAAAACACTAAATCGTGTCATTAGTTTTGTATATCTGTTTCTCAGTTCGTTGGTTCGTTTTAATATTGTTGCGATTAGCCTTATATGCTTACTCACCACAGCTCTGGGCTATCCTCAAGCATACAGGCAGTCTGACAACTGTGAATGATGACAATCCTTTCCGGAAACGGCTCCGCTATGCAGATACGTCTGTCCAGTCCAGGATCTTGGTCAACACTGTTCCTCACCCGGAACACCTCGGTTATCCTCGCCTGCCTACTAGTAGTGGGAACCAACTCCGGCCATTCCGGAACCGTGTCGCAGCACCACAATGTCTAATTACATGAACAACTTTAGAATCGCTACATAATTGTTGCAATGGGTTTTTATCATATGACAATATTTCAATTCTTACTCAAGTTGGACTCAATGCAACTATCAAATGTAACCTGTTTCATTTTCCGATGAATTTCACCAGATTAACAGTGCCTGTTGCCTGAGCGTAGGATTTTGAAAAGGGATATAACTATCGACATGTTTAAACAAAGATATCACATGATGAAATTTTACATTTTTTTTTGAAGCAACACAAACAATTGTTCAACTAACCAAAAACAACCAATCAGCAAAATATTATCAGCTCAAGGTTGCAAGCGGTAGTGACAAGTCATGTGCAGCCCTAGAAATTTTCCCTCCAGCTACCCATTCTGTCTTGTGTCGGTAGGCCTATCAACCGCAAATCGATCCACAGGGGTTCGTTACAAATGTCTGTAATACACATATCGTGCTATAACTGATATGGGTCAGCACACATCAACATACATATAAATGTATGTTTATGTATGCTGTGACCTATATCAGTATATCATGTGTTTAAATGTATGTGTATGTGTGATGTGACTCATATCAGTATGGCATGTGTATTTCAGACATTTGTAACGAACCCCTGTGTTAGATCCATGTGGTCCCTTCTTATATGAAATACAGTTGAACAGCCAAATGTCATATCAAATGTTTCGTCCTTTCAAGCTACGTGTGTTTCGTGTTGTATTTCTACTTAATTTGATTGTATTTAATTATCAGCGTACATCATCATGTTGTAGGATGGTCCTTCAATGACGGACTATATTTTTTACATTACGTCAATACGTAGACTTGCACAAGCTCCAAAACCTGTGAAAATTGATCAGAATGGACTTCACAAGTCCCAATTATTGAAAAAAAACACGTTGATTGAAATATAAGGATTGAATATTGCTTCGCAGTTCCTTAAATCTGTTTCAAGACCAACTCAATTCATCACCCCATGAAATCGACCAAGGCAAAATTCAATCCTTTAATGAACGATATCAGTATACGTTTTCTTCCAGTTCACGGCACTAGACGTTAGTAGTACCAGTCACTGGCAAGCTAGACACGTGTTGAGGACCAAACACGAATCGACAAATGTAAAATGATTGCCCAAAGCATATTGAACGAAATCAAATTAATCGAAACACCAAATCAAATTGCAGTGAGCGTGATGTATACATGGAGCGATGCGCCCACGGCAGAGCTAACACTTTATTTTCGCATTTTTCGAACATAACCCACAGGAAGAGCTATTCATTTATTTCGGATTTGCTAAATTTATCGGAAACTAATGAAAGGCAATTTGATCAATCAACATTTCTGTTTCCTGATTTAGAATAGACTAATTTGATATCGTACAGTTCCGTTACATTTATCCGGATTTAGTATATTAGTAAAAAATAGTTTGACAGAATCACTAGCATTATAATTGATTGCAACGATTATTTAATAATAGCAAAAACATTTGATGGCTGTTGTCGACAATTGCACACTCAAACTAAACATGGAGCTATTTGTTTGCTTCGCCATTCAACGCACCCATAACATTGATACTTATACAAAGTCAATTCGGCGGTCCAGAAAAGGTGGACATTTCTATTGCGTCCACTGATACTGATGTCATTTGATTCAATAATATGGTAAAAAAAACCTTTAAGGATCCATGTCCCTCTGCAGACAACACACTAGAGAGTTCTTCTGTATAGTTTTTAGTACTAACAGTTACCTCCCTTTAGTTCGTCGTAGATATATGTATAACTACAACGCTCTTTGGACAGTTAACTATAGCTGACCAGAGAGCTCATTGGGTCCCAGATGACCAAAGGGGCCGCGGTGGCCACGTGATTAAGGCGTCTGACATTCTGCTAGCACTAGTCCTCCACCACCTGGTCGCAGGTTCGACACCTACGTGGGGCGGTCGCTAGGTACTGGCCATAGGTCGATGGGTTTTTATCCGGTACTCCGGCTTTCCTCCACCACCGAAATCTGGCACGTCCTTAAATGACCATAGCTGTTCATAGGACGTACGACACAAACAAACCAAACAGATGACCAGTAATAATAGTAAAAATAGTCTTTATTTATACTTGATGACAAAGTTGAGTCAACTACTCGTCTAATATTTGGTCAAGTAGTGACCAGTGATCGAATTCTGGGCCGTTTTCATTTATCGCGACGAAACGGTTGGACCGGTTGGACCAAAGTTGTTGTAGGTGGGACCTAGTAATCTGAGGCTGCTTTCAAACGAGCCTTGAGAAAGCCTTGCAAGGCCTGAATTATACCCGGAAAAAAGTGCCACTATTGGTTTTATTTTTTCATTTATTGCACATTTACAATTCTTTCATAAAAGTTCCACAAGGTTTCGGTCTCCTTTTTCAGAAATTATTTATCAAAGCTATACATTTTCATGCCGGATCCCGCGAAAAAAACCTCAAAGTTACATTCTAGGCAATGGTACGAGAATCCTTAAGATAAACAGTGACAGTAATCGCAAGCTTGGATTCAGATACACAGGTGTTACTTTTATTTTTAGTCATTCAATGTTAAAAGCATGTCATTCCAAACGAGAAAAGTTCCTACGCCGAGACATCACATGACAAGCAGGAAGTCGATCGTTGCCATATTTGTCACAGGTACCTGAAAATGTGTTACATTGTACAGGCGTGTGCACTAGAGCTCACATTGTTTTTGTGCACTGGGGTTAAATTTCCATGTAAACTCCAGTCCACTAAGCTACAAAGTTAGGTTTGCTCCAAACTGTATATTAAGGTGTTCAGCGTAATTTTACACGTCTTATATATGGGTTTGGGTTTAGATCAACTTTCGGTAAAAATGCCCACAGGGCGTTCAAAGGGAACTAACTCTTCCTTACTTTAAGATATTCTGGAATTGATCCCAGTCTTTACAATTGTACTATTCATCATATTGTCACAATTCCAGCAACAAATTTCAGACCTATTATAACAAAATGTGAAATCTTTGCGGATTGTGTGGTCTCCATTTGTATATATAACAAAATCCAAATTTTTCATCAAAGTAGATAAGGCATAGGCTTTTATTAATCTGACTTATTTCCACTTTGGGAATAATATTACATGAACAACACATGATAAAAATCACTGTCATTTCTAACGAAATATTTGTTTTTTCTTTGATATACAATCGCCTGTTGTCTAATTTTGACCTCACACTAGTCTCGTTCAACACGAATCTTTTTGTCTGCGCAAGCTGTTACAAGTGATCAAGCGTCGGATTGAATGAAACTAACCTCGCAATTGAATAAATAAACATAAGTTATTTAACCGAAAAGAGACATGGGTGATTTCAATATATAACACGGTAATCAATGGAGAGATTATACATGTAATATCGACCCAGGGATAGTGGACGAGTACATTCCTTTAAGGTTCCCCGTTCCATTGCACCCATTGCGGATCCTTAATCTCGAAGTAAATATACCGACCCAGAATCCTTAAAGTTTGTATTTCTGTTTACTTTTCTGTCTGACAGTGTTACAACACAGAGGATGACGTAATCTTATAGATTTGATTTTTTTGCGTATTTGTTTTATTAACAGGTAGTTTAATGACATCTCCCTGGCGAACCCATCCGATAACAATAATGTAGTACATGTAATGTTGACGCATTTATCTTGTGAAAATGTAAAACTTGTGTTATCTATGTGGCGGTCATATATATTTTTTACTAGTAAGGTAAACTTTAAAACTATAAATTATGTAAAACTTGTTTATCAAATGTGTTCAAAATGCTTTATCGGAGAGGTGGTGGGGTGTTGGTGACGGTGGTGAGTCATCATACATCATAATAAATTTCCATACTTACGTTTTCTTTAAAACTCGTTGAATAACATTAAAACAGCACAGAAGTTGATATTAGTAGGATTTTAACCTGCCTCAAATCACAAAGGCCAATTCTGATTTGAGCAACCGCAAGATTTGAGTGAATAGAGGTACAATAATGATAATAAACAGTACATATATTTATTTCAAAACAATTATGAAACATGTTATAAAAAAATATTAACTTGTATTAATCACTCTTGTTGGCCCGGATGTTAGCGCGCAGGAGGATTTTAATATGGAAGGAAACTGGAATTCCCGGAGGAAATACATGTGATCGGGAAGATGATCCAACACGAGAGATCGAGTGTGCTACATACCGCCCCCCCCNTTGATTTGGCACGTGCTTGCGTTTTATGTAAATAAAAACCGCAGTACCATGGTGTTAGTTCCAAATCAAACTAAATTATATAACTTTACTTAATTTGTTCTGCATTCGTTGAAGATTTAATTAATATAGAAACATTTAAACGATAGCCATTACTTCTTTCACCACACATGAACAGTAAAACCCTATAGATCTCATTTCTGTGTCAAAGGAAATGTATTTAATTACAATTATATTGACGGTCTCTAATTGTGTGGAATTAAAAGGCTTTTTCCATTGACAAGAGGGATCCGTCACGGATGACAGCTAGCGACGCCTAGTGGCTATATTCGTGTATACACTGGTACACGACCTTAGATTGAGTATAACCATTTAAATATATGAAGTTAAAGCGGAGGGCTTTACCGGGGATATTTACCAGGGATTTTGACTTTCCTTGTTAGGGTTTCAGTGGGAACAACGCTCATTATGACGTCGGCAATGTTTTTCCCGTATCGAGGTGAGAACTTATTCATATTCATTTAATATATATCTATAAAATCTGTGTTAATCTTCGACTGAGTCGGCTTATAAGTAATTATGAACCACAGTGTGCTAAGATAATCCGCATTAGGGATATGTATTTAGAATTATGTAGATATAGACTTTTATATGCAGACGTATAACGGACTTAACTATAACCTAGATGTATTTCATGAGAGGTAATCTTTCAAGGTAGTACAGTATATTTTTATAACAAGTGCAAAGTACGGCAGATTTATTTAATCTAACCCAAATAATAAGTCGTGTTCGCCATTATCCTTTAATTTGTAATAATTATATACTTCACGTGGTAATTAATGAACTTGACATTGCTAAAGAGTGATTCCTAGGTATGAGTGACGTCATATCCGGTGCCACCGATGGTGGAGGACACACCTGCACTTCTGGAGCACGTGTTTAAGTTCCATTTGTAAACTTAAGTGCTGGTTCTGTATTACATATTAACTTGTCATGTAGCATAGAAATTCAACACAGTTTCCTATGTGTGTCCTGTCCGAGCCTCGAGCTCACGTGCTACGGCACAAAATGACATAGCTGAGAAATGCCAGCAACTCGGACTATCACACCAACTCCTCGAACTCACGTGCTAGAGTACAAAGCGACCTACCTGAGACATACCCAACAACTTTTGAAATTATATATAATTATGTACAGTGTGCAGGAACTTCTATTTTGAACCAGTGAAACGAATGTTTCTGATACAAATTTAAAGTTAGAATTTGTTTAAAATACAGGAGCCAATAGAGCTCTCTACCCTGGACTCAAAATTTAAATAATTGAATACAAGACTGACCATTTGATAAAGTTATATATCCTTACCGAACAGTTTTGTTATCGTGAAACATTTCATAAATAAACGTATGTTAGATTGAGGTTTTGAAAGGATTTAAGAGAGCACCACCGTATCACACAGTATATATCTCGACCGAATGGTGTTTATTTTGTTAGACGAATTCACACAGAGAAACTATCTTTTAAAATGCACAAACCTTGGCCCGAAAGAAATTATCAAAAGTATTTCGTTTTCTATATATACTCTCATTACACGATTTACATGTCCCTATAATATAACCCTTGCTGCAAATATGTTTTCTTTGTATCGCGTGAGGATTATAGGGTTCGATTAAACTGCGTGTCCTTTTTACGTTCAAATTAAATGTACTGGGTGTTACGTCTTTGTGTAAGTCTACATGTGTCTGTAAGCTATTGTGGAGATTTATAAACACTCGGTGCTCACCGTCGAGGGTCAGGTCGTTCATACACCGTATATTTTGACATGTATACATGGATGGTACGCATATAATTCTATACCTGGTCAGAGGTCAATTATAGAAACAAGGTAAGACATTATAGGGTATAGTATTACAACAAATGGTGTTATATTTCATATAAATATGATTTATGTGAATAATTATCCAGATTTTTTAAGTCAAATTTGCAGTATAATGGACGTGATTGATTTTTTTTTGTGTATAAACTCATGTACTAAATGAATTCTCGACCTATTTAGGTCACATTCATTATAATTTCTTTTAAAGTAATTTTATCATGAATACGAGCCACTTTTTGAGAGAGAGATATATATCTCCCATGTGCTAACAAGTCCAGTTCTCCAATTAAGATATAGATCCTAGAGGCTTAATTTCACTAAATAGGAAACGCTGATACAGCCGTATTCCTTAAGTGAATATACTTTTATTCATTTCGACCATTGTTCTATATATATAATTATATGAATGTTTATTCATATTTTATAGAATTAGCGAAACAATAAATACTTAAACACATAGGTATGATACATGTATTAAATAATATTTCTACAACCATAATATGTGTCTGTGAAATTGAAATTCATATACCGCGTACACTGTTGGCTGTACGATAGGAGCAGGAAACCGCGATGAATATTAATGAAATGTATAAAAGTATAGAAATATGTGCAAATATCTCGAAACGACAAAACAGCACAATGTTGTTTCGAGTAATGCCGGGAAAATATGTTATTTCTTATTGGAAGGCGGTTTTTTTTCGACTGAACAGCCGTAGAGGGTATATACTTATTATACATCTTTAAACAGGATTTTTGCTTCACGCGCTTGAGTTTCCCCGGTCATATCTCCCTTATTCGGAGCCTCTCTAGAAAAGTCAGCAAAAGGTACAAGTGACTGAAGCAGCCGACAGACGACAACATAGTATGGAAGACTGATCTTCTTGTGTTCTTGTTCCGTTCCGTTTCCAAAAAAAATGTCGCCCTCGTGAAATATGATATATCTGGGGGGAAACAAAGAATTGTATTTCCCTGCCGCAAGGAAATATATCATATCATATATGAGGTACAAAATATCGATTTTATAAATTGTAACTATTTAAAACAGTTGTTGTCGATGAAAAATCGTGGTCCCGTTCAAAAAGTGTATACATTTGCAAATCTTCATTAAATTGTATTGTGTCTTGAAAGCTACGCGTCGCAGCCCGTGACCAATTGCAACTCTCCGTGTCTAAATGGCCTAGTTGAAACTTGCAATTGACTTATTATGATATAAAAATTAATCGAGATAGATAAAAAAACACACCAATTTAACTGTTGTGAAGTAGTAAGGAAAGCAACTCCAAATGTTTTTATTTTTTTATTTTAAAAATATTTGAAGCGATCTTGGAGACAAAGTATACATGCTCATACATTATATCAGTTGTAAATATACTTTTAAGTGTTATATGTACACGCCAGCGTCCCTCATATTTGAAATATCTTGATGGTCGCTGTAGTCACATTAACATTGTAGTCACAAGATGCCTGGGCCCTTATTCATAAGAACGTTCTCAGATTCCATACCAAAGAAAATATTTTTTGTTACTGACGATTTAGAAGAATTATGGAAAAAAATATAATGTCCATTGCAGTGTTTAAACTTGATCGTTGTGCTCTTACATGATTTAAGCAAGTGGGTTTTGAGCATAGAATCTCTGCAGGAGTATATGGACACGGTTTTATGTAAACAGGGCCAGGTATTTGACTTGGTACGGTGGTTGATTACTTGCTTTATGTAAACAGGTCCAGGTATTTGACCTGTTACGGTGGTTGATTGTTTGTTTGTTTTATGTAAACAGGTCCAGGTATTTGACTTGGTACGGCGGTTGATTGTTTGTTTTATGTAAACGGGTCCAGATATTTGACTTGGTACGGTGGTTGATTGTTTGTTTTATGTATACAGGTCCAGGCATTTGACTTGGTACGGTGGTTGATTGTTTGTTTTACGTATATAGGTCCAGGTATTTGACTTGGTACGGTGGTTGATTCTTTGTTTTATGTATACAGGTCCAGGTATTTGACTAGGTACGGTGGTTGATTGTTTGTTTTATGTATACAGGTCTAGGTATTTGACTTGGTACGGTGGTTGATTGTTTCTTTTATGTAAACAGGTCAAGATATTTGACTTGGTACGGTGGTTGATTGTTTGTTTTACGTATATAGGTCCAGGTATTTGACTTGGTACGGTGGTTGACTGTTTGTTTTATGTATACAGGTCCAGGTATTTGACTCGGTACGGTGGTTGATTGTTTCTTTTATGTAAACAGGTCAAGATATTTGACTTGGTACGGTGGTTGATTGTTTGTTTTATGTCAACAAGTCCAGGTATTTGACTTGGTACGGTGGTTGATTGTTTGTTTTATGTATATAGGTCCAGGTATTTGACTTGGTACGGTGGTTGATTGTTTCTTTTATGTAAACAGGTCAAGGTATTTGACTTGGTACGGTGGTTGATTGTTTGTTTTATGTAAACAGGTCCAGGTATTTGACTTGGTACGGTGGTTGTTTCTTGTTTCATGTAAACAGGTCCAGGTATTTGACTTGGTACGGTGGTAGATTGTTTGTTTATGTAAACAGGTCCAGGTATTTGACTTGGTACGGGGGTTGATTGTTTGTTTTATGTAAACAAGTCCAGGTATTTGACTTGGTACGGTGGTTGATTGTTTGTTTTATGTAAAGAGGTCCAGGTATTTGACTTGGTACGGTGGCTGATTGTTTGTTTTATGTAAACAGGTCCAGGTATTTGACTTGGTACGGTGGTAGAATGTTTGTTTATGTAAACAGGTCCAGGTATTTGGCTTGGTACGGTGGTTGATTGTTTGTTTTATGTTAACAGGCCCAGGTATTCGACTTGGTACGGTGGTTGATTGCTTGTTTTATGTGATCAGGTCCAGGTATTTGACTTGGTACGGTGGTTTATTGTTTGTTTTATGTTAACAGGTCCAGGTATTTGACTTGGTACGGTGGGAGATTGTTTGTTTTATGTAAACAGGTCCAGGTACTTGACTTGGTACGGTGGTTGATTGTTTGTTTTATGTTAACAGGTCCAGGTATTTGACTTGGTACGGTGGTTGATTGTTTGTTTTATGTTAACAGGTCCAGGTATTCGACTTGGTACGGTGGTTGATTGCTTGTTTTATGTGAACAGGTCCAGGTATTTGACTTGGTACGGTGGTTGATTGTTTGTTTTATGTAAACAGGTCCAGGTATTTGACTTGGTACGGTGGTTGATTGCTTGTTTTATGGGGTTTAATGTCTTTGCAACAACTAAGGACATAAATAAAGAAGATGGCTTGGGGGACACCGCGAAAACCACTATAGGTTACCCACTGGACATGATTTCAATGGTCCGTCTTAAGTTCGACGTCACATTACAATGTGTTGGCTCCAGTTTGTTTGTTTGTTTGTTTGATTTTGTTTAACCTCCTATTAACAGCTAAGGTCATTTAAGGACGGCCTCCCCTGGGTGCAAGATGCATGCGTGTAGTGTATGTGTGTGTATATTGGGAGGCTGCGATATGTTCGTGTTTGTCTCCTTGTGATAGCGCGAAACTGATGCCGACTTTATAGGCTCCAGTATCTACCTTCGTGACGTCATTATTCATGGCAAATGGGTTTTTTTTCTGATCGGAAACAGAATGGTTTTTCTAGATGTAAATCGAATTTTATGTGAGAAATAGGAACACAAACTCGTGATGGATGATTTTCATGTTAAACTAACTTTAGATATGTCGGTAGCGTATTGTTTTCGCTACGTTCCTTTTTATTCTTTTTTATTATTATTATTATTATTATTATTCCAATGAACGGTTTCTGGCTTTGTCACAGAAACTGCTAACTAGATAATTATGAAACTCCATAGTGTATCGGTTGGCCTTTGTACCTTTTCGTTACGTATTTCTTTCTCTGTTCCGTCATCGAGCATGGTCGTAGTGGCCTATAACTAATTTACACAGGTATGGGTGTACGCCAAGGTGATGCCAGCAGTCCGTCTCTTTTGTCTTGATTTTGTTCCAACTTTGTAGATGCACGGTAAGGAAGTATGACATTGCAAATGTGCTGTTTTTTTCATTCAAACTTGATATGGGCAAGACATTTTATTGTTTACGTCGTTTGAATGCAATTTTGTTACTATCGCTCCGTCGCGGCTGGGAGTCATGTGGGTCGACGTCTTCTAGAAGGACACAAAACGATAACAAAGTTTACGCAAAGATGTAAGCATCTGTCTGTTTATAAACGGTAGGTAGACATCGCAAGATTATCCACATATTCCTTATTAAATTCATATACTATATATACCTGCTATTATTATATTTCAGCTCGCGTAATCTCTTAATCCTGAAGCCCCAATATTCACATTCAATACCGTTAAACAATATAATAGAGAGTATACTGTGTATATAAATAAAGGCAAACTAGAACAGAAAAACCAAAAAATCACAGGAAACAGGTAAGTGATATATTCTTGATATATAGAGTTTGTTCAAAACATTGTGACAAGCCCTACATGAAGTCCGGAAACGTTCACAACCCACGCGCCTGGTTTCACGACGCCATGTTCTGTTACTGTTGACAACGTCATTGATTCTGTTTTCTAAATAACTCCCCGGTTCCTGTTGTATTGATTTGTAATAAGCTTTATCACATAATGTACTGTGTTATCCAGTGAAAATACCCATGTCATATTGTTTGCGTATTAACCCATGTAATATGGCCTATCAGCCCTATGATTGGTTGTAAGTTTCAATTGTTTTAATTGTGACGTCACGCCTAGCACAAGCTTACGCACTGGAGTCAAAATGGTGGCTTTTTACATTTCAAATGTTGCATAAAAATTGTCGGTTTACACGAATAAATGTCACAAATCTGGATTTTGTGATAAAAAGGATCTTACACTCTATTTCATTTCACATGAAATTGATGAAACTCGTCACGAATTTGTCATTTTAGCTTGCCAGAGGCTCGCTAAATTGAAAAATTCTTAGACTCGTTTTATAAATCTCATATGAAATGGAAACTCATGCAAGATCCTACAATATATATTTATTTCTATTTTAAACAAGTGGCTTTTATATACAGAAATACGACGGTAGTCTCAGACGAGGACAGACGTCACTTCATCGTTGAAAATCTACTACAGTAACGTGCCATAGCCCTTCACGTTATGTCGTTTTCCGTTGGATTCTATCTTATTTTTTTGACGTTTACAAAATTTTCGTGATTCCGTTTCGTTTGAAATTCAGTTTTGATAAAACGTGACATCCTGTTTGAGAAATGACGAGCGTTGTTTCACTTCTGATAATATTTATATTATTATAATAAGTTAAATATAAACAAAAAAGAGCCAGTTAATTATCTGTTTTGAAAAGAAAAAGACAATTAAATTCATAAAAATGAATTAACATAGAATCCGACGGGAGAATTAACATAGAATCCGACGGGAGAATTAACATAGAATCCGACGGGAGAATTAACATATAACCCGACGGGAAAATTAACATAGAATCCGACGGGAGAATGACGTTACATTAAAGATGTATGACACGTCACAAGATGCAAAAAAAAGACCAATCTGAAATGTTTCACTAATAACCTGCGTCTTTTTTTCTTCTTTTTTTTAGAATCAACCTTCAACAGGTTCCTATCTGTGAAAGATAGCGCCTACAAGTTAAAAACAGGTCAACCGAAATACGAATCCCCTCAGCATAACTTTTACTGCATTGCACGGAGTTTAAGTTTACCAGAAATACCAACAAGCCGAAAGATGTCTAGGAAAATGTCGACTGCCAATCGGAGTGACCAGTTCACGCCAAAATCTCGTAAGACACGAGGCTCTATAGCCGGCGCCCGCTACATGCCGTTGACAGGACGCTCAGACAAACGCTCAGAAGCTCACGATTCCACAGGGACGCTTGATATTGTCTCCCTTCACGACAAACAAGATGGCGGAGTCACAGGTATACGGGGGTTAAAGATGGAAAACACGTACAAAACAGACCCAGATGATATTTTTAAATTGTGCGAGGTTGAAAAAGTCACAGAAACCACACTAAAGGAACACCTGGACTCAGTAGTCTATGACTCTGCTAATTGTAAAGAACTGTCGCAGAAAACAGCCGCAGACATTTTAGAAAAAGTGAAAAGTTTAGGCTTCAAAAGGTTCAAAATTATTGCTAACGTGAGTATAGGAAGCTTAAAGGAAAAACCGGGGATGCAATTTGGAAGTCGGTGCCTCTGGAATAAAAATACGGACAACTTCGTTAGTGTAAAGTACAGTAATAGTTCTATGTTTGCCGTAGCGATGGTGTACGGGCTATATTTTGACTGATATTGCGCGTGCTTGACCACTCCAAGAGTGACCAAGTGATGATTTTGACTAAAGTGCTGTTATTACTATGTGTTTCGCTGAGGTCAATGATGTCTGATACAATTATATATGGGCAATAAATGTTGCTTATACCCTTTTATAAACTGGTAATCTTTCGTGAGCTTTTCACCTGTCTAAAAAACAAACGTCCAGAGTTACCGTTCCTACTAGACAGGTATTTCCGCTTTGGTGTATTCTGAATTTTACGCTGCTACAGTTCAAATGTCTAGCTGAAACTACAGATTCTATATTTTTAACTCCAAAACTCATTTAGAAAATTGTTCACACGTAGAAGAAAAAACCCCAATCAAACGTTGGTGAAGTAAACGGAGGAATCTCAACTCTTAGAATTAGTTCCGGAAGAACGAATACATTCCCTTCAGACAGACATTTCTATGCAACAAACGGATGCGGTCCTTTTGTGTAGTGACTAGATGTCACGGTTATTGCGCGTGAGCTTTAGTCATATATCGAAAAACAGTTTCTTATACATTTTTACAGTTTTTAGCAGTGGTACGGGGATCCTTAAATCAAAATGAAACGTTGTCTGTTTAAATTCGGTAGAAAGCAAATGTTTCAATTACTACATTTATTTATATCTCAAGACAGAATACTAATATGACGTCATACCTGTTGGTGAATATAAAAAGTGGAAATTTTGGCGGTGTGGAAATTATCGCGTTTTCGTCTGGAGTAAATTGTGCGAAAATATCAACACGAGTATATATAGATATCATTTGAATTAATATATGACGTATATAAAGAGTATACATATTTCAGATCCATTGCGTCCCGATCAGGTTAGAGAATCAAAACGCGAATAATTCGACACGCAAAAATTTCAACTTCTACAGTATATGAAAGAAAAACAGAAAAATCCCGAAAAACACAGTGTCAGTGTCTTATTCAACCCTTCATTTCTCCAGTATAAATATAACTCAAATCGACATTTTACCTTAGAGTTCACTACAATTGTATTATAGTGTACGTATTCATCCAGGGTGACGTCACTTAAGTTCCCCGTCTCTAAACGGAAGTATTATTTATTGTATAAACCTGTTGAACAGATGTTTTATTAATACATATATATATATAAATGGAACATTTCATTAAAGTTTTTTATTGACAACTTGAATTTGATCTTATACATATTACATTTTATTCGCATATCCAACAATAACGAATGTAAAACTTCACTCAATCGTATTTTCACATTTTTGTGACGTAAGTCCAAAATGTATAGAAAACGTATTGATCTATGTATGTGAAAGGTTATAAATATCATGTCAGACACTCTCCGAGGTACATGCATAGAGGGTTCATAATTATTGAAAATTCTAGTTTCTAACAGGAGGAATATATATTTCATTTTCTACATGGCCCTTACCCCCTTCCGTAGTTAAAAAATGAAACATAGTACTATTCGAAGTATCACATTTTGACCCTGCGCTGGTCCACTGACACACTTATAATCCCAATAGGATTAATGCTCAGAAGAATCAAAACTGCAATTTAAGAACAATGATATTCCAATCCATTCACCGGGAATTATACCTCTGTGTTAAGTATGCATGTCTCACTGCAGTATTGTAAAACACCGGAGAGTTCCACTGTAGTTACCTCCCCTACATTTCATTTTGGATATTACATACATGTAAGTGTAGCCCGGCCAGGGTGCTTTCATTGACCAGACAGCCAAGTTAGTTGGTGCGATAGTATCATGATCTGATGTCTAGGGTTCGAATCCTGGTCGGGCACCCTTGCATCTTTTAAATTCGGGACACTGGAGTTGGTATTTTTGTTTATTTCGTCTTTAATGAATGTTTTCCTCACAAAAGTCCGGCAAGTTATGCTTTTCTTTTTTAGTAATGGTTGATCAAAGCTATACAGTCAATCCGGAAGTAAAGGTTTCCAATACCTAGTTACAGATTTTGACAGTGTCACGTGGATCCCTAAAGGATATTTGTGCGTTATAAGATATATTTAAGTGGCGTTAAGGGCATCATGATCATTGTAAAGATGTATTGTCGTATGTAAGTGATGATTTGGCTCTAAAAGTTAGAATTTATTTGTAGACGAAACAACTCTCAATGGTCTCAGGAAAACAAAAGGTGCACATGCCTTACCGGGCACCCGATTAATATACAACATAAATACAAAAAGAGAATCGGACCAGGGTCCGTATTCATGAAGCCATGCTCATGCTCAAGCATGAATTCTCTGCTCAACTAACTTTCTTGCAACACGGCCAAAGGGTCAAGTATAAATATTGAAAATGCCATCCGGCTTTTAATCTCTCAAACATTCCTCCAAATCATTGAGAAAATGTGGAGTTTTATTATTCATCATCTGAATAAAGAATTGACATTGAGCACAGAATCTGAGTTTGAGCAAGAGAACGATTTCATGAATACTGGCCCAGACGTTTGATAAGGGATCTTCTACCCTTTTTATCTATGAAGGTAGTTTAGTTTCTCAGGGTATATTTTCAAGTTTTTCATTATTGAGACCCATCTCTTACCAACAGGGGAAATAACTCCCGTATTTACAATGACGTTCTTCTTAGCTTATTCAATCCTCACATCAAATGACAATGCACATATTTTTCTTTTCTCCATTTGTTTACATGTGCCTGTAGTATTATCAATTGTAAGTAACCTATAAGGCCACTAGTTTGTTAGAAAGATGAGAAGGATTTATATAAGTATACTGTAGTACTTGTTTCCTTATCGTGTTTGATTATGTGGTTTGTATTATTCAAATACAGTGTCAACCAAATGACAATGCATTTATTCATTGCTTAATTAGTATTTTAACAGATTTTAACTTCTTGACCTGGACAATAGTTCTTAAACTTTCATCCCCCCTCTCTTTTATGGTGTAAGTTTTGTCCTTTATTATACATATTATCCTTACAATACTGTTTAACTGTAGTGTTGTCATCCGCTTGTCAGTAATTAAGGAGATATACTCATATAAGTATTTAAATACTTTGAATCCTGTACTTAAATATATTATGTATGACATGAACAAAATTGAAATAAAATATGGTTTAAACTAAACTTTTATACCAACAAGATATATCTGTCAATTATATTCATTCCAGACCCTTTCTATCCTTTACGGTAGCCGTTTTAAGATTCTTACATATTTTGAATTGGATACTTGTTTAGGAATATCGTTAAGTCAGGATAATACACTAAGTCTCGTTATACTGCCACCATTTGTCGAGAGAACTGGTGGCGTTATAAAGGGGTTTGATGATAATTTTAGGGAAAACGTATCAAGAAAAAATCTTAAGAAACACACAATTACATATTTGTTTGTACTATGGTCCTCTATAGACTTTTGTGTTTATGTACATGAATGTCTTCAAAGAACAGTAAGCAGGCTTTCAATCACAGAAATTTTAATTGATGAATAAATATTTATGTGCTTTATTGTACAGAGCTGTCAATTAAAAATATTAAGAATATTGATGTCGCAGGTTAAACATTGTAAATGCTATCCTTCAGATATGGGAGATAAAATAAAAACTAAAACGCAAATTTATATAAAAAACACTTTATTGCACTTGGTAATTACGAAAGATGTTAGCTCTCAACTTTGACCCTACAAGTGCCCTCTGAAATGCGACCCCAAAAGTGTCCTCGATTGTGACCTCTGTTAATGACCTCAACGATGCTATATACGCCTTACTGCTGCATACTTTACATTCATGACGTCACGACCTCCAACAATCGACAGAAGTACTCAATATTTATCACGATAAGACATTGGTGTCGATGTCAGACACACGCTTGAATAAATATCCATGGTGTTGTGTATCACGCTCTCTGTTACAAACATTCTCTCGCACAAATAAACATGTATGCTATCAACCGCTAGGCGTCGTCACCCCTTTCAGGCGATTCATTATCGAACTTTTTCGGTTCGAATCCCGCATTATCATTACCTCCTTTGGTAAAAGAGCCGCCATTTTTCCGGTAGTATATGTACATACAGGCGAATCCAAAAACAAAGAAGACGATTGCCATGGCAACACCTAATCCAGCAACAGCACCTGGAACAGAATTTAACACACGTGGTATAAATCGGAATTAACTTATTTTGAAAATGTCTAGATTCTAAAATTGTATTGATTTTTCAAAGAAAACCATACATGACCATACATTTAAACTTAGTTTATGTAATATTTTATTAGAATTAAAACCTGTTCATTTGCACCAAAGAAAAGTGAACATATCCAGATAGTTGAGATAAAAAAACAAAAAGAAAATAAATTACATCAAACTCAAAAAAAAAAAAGAAAAAAAAGAAGATCTATAGACAATCTTCTTCAGGTGAGCACCTCCTTTAAGAGACCATCTGTGTTAAGAGGACACTTATAATGTCCCCCTGTGATTTCATTGTGATTTGACCTGTATTAAGAGACCACCTGTGTTAAAAGACCACTATAACCTGCCGACCGACAGGGCGGAAGAAAAAACTAACAAACCTGATGTGTATGCTGCTGTTTTTGCGGGAGGGACGTAGTAACCTTTCTGTACCACGTGACTGGACTGCTTCAAAGAGTAGGGTTGTGCGGTCAAGGTCGTCGTCTGAAATTTGGAAAAACATAATCAATGTAAGGCCAATTTCATATCATTGCCAATTATGGACTTTTGTTGGGATAAACATGTTGTTTTTAGAACCCAAAAAATGATATTTACCGAGACGAAGGTTAATATAACTTTCTCAGATCCATATAACCACATATTTACCGAATAAAAATGGCTGTATAGGTGCGTACACACTCACCAAACCATTTTTTCAGTATATGGCTTTTTTAAACCAAAAATGTTTGTTGTTAATGCATTATGACCAAAAGCTGCAATGAAATCAATTATGATAATAAACGTGGGGTCAAAGTTCAAAATATCACATTCTGTGTGTAGACATGACACAGAATACGAACATGCAGACAATAAAACCTCGATATAATGCCCTTTTGTCATTTACCATTTCGCTTACCGCCAATGTATGTAAAGGTCCATTTTTTTCTGTTTTTCTGACGATTTCCGTCATAAATTCCCCTATTGTATCGCCAAACCCTTTATAACGCCCGAATTTCTCTTGACAATTGGTGTATATGAATGAAATGCGTCATATTTCATTTAATTGTTGTAGGACTATTCTAGAAGACGTTGTACCGGGGGCATTCTAAATAGTTCTATCTACAACAATTAAACATCAAAATAGGGGGAAATTTTGTTCCTTCGCGAGTTGTTAAATTATGTAACAGTCTCCAAAAAGAATGAGGTTTTCAGCACCATCAACATATACATTTAGAAACAGACCCAATCATCACTGAAATCATCAGGAACTGATGTATAATTACAAAAAAAGACATACATGTTCAGCACGTGATGTCCGTAACTTTCATACAGGTTTACATGTATGTACATGTGTATGATAGCATTGTTGACAAACGACACACACACAAAAACACTGTGCCATATACTTACATGTATGTATACAACAAAACCTCGATATATTGCCCCTCGTTTCATCTGCCATCGAACTTCCCGCCAACATATCTCAAGATCCCTTTTCTATTTTTCTTAAGGATACTTACATTTTACCCTCAATTTATCACCAAACCCCTTTATAATGCCAAAATTTATTAGGCAAATGGTGGCAGTATAACGACGTTTTAGCTGTAAATTATTGTTTCCGGTATTGAGGATCATACACAGATTATGTATTGGAAACTGAAAAAAAAATAAACTACACTAAAACTAAATTAAACTACAATGTAACTAAACTAAGTCAAATAGCTGACGGGCATACTTACTTGCGTTCCCACTCCCGTTCCCGCGGAGATCTTGAGCTGATTACTGTTGATAGCGTTGGTCAGCAGAGTGGCCGCTGTGGTCAGACTGACCTGTGTGACGGGGTTGTTGACGTCACCCCGGATAATTGGCGTCCCAAGGAGGGTCAATGACACGAGGATGTTAGAGGCGTCATAGTCAATCTTTAAAAGAGGTCAAAGGTTAAATTAAACAAAGGTCAAGAAAGTGGCGAGTTTTAATGTGCTATTGTCAAATTTTGAAAAAAAAAAACCACATTTTCCGAAACAAAGGTCAAGGTCACGAGAAAGTTTGAGGTGTCATTGTCTAACTTACAAAGCTAGCATAAGCAATATTAATTGAAACCAAGTTCAGACACACGAGGTGTCTCAGGTTTCCAATTTCTTAAAGAGTTCATATACTTCATAAAAAGTTGATTAAAATGGACAATAACTTAGGATAAGTAGGAAAAGTAGGATGTAAATCGAGTACATAAGTCCGATGTGATCTTCATTATATTCCTCACGAATGGGATATCGGGGCTCATATTCATGAAACTGTTAGCGTGTTCAGTCTTTCCATCGCGTCCTTAAGTCGAAGTACTAGGGAATAAGGATCAAGTTTTAACGTATAAGCTCAAGGGAGATAACCAATATATAACAGACATAAAATTCAAGGGAGATAACCAATATACAAAACAGTCATGAAGTTCAAGGGAGATAACCAATATATAACAGACATAAAGTTCAAGGGAGATAACCAATATATTACAGACACAAAATGCATGGGATATAACCAATATAAGTGGGGCACTTGAACAGAAATATGGTAATATTTAAGTTCAAGTTTGTGGCGTTTATTTTCAAGCAAGCCTCATTTTCGACAATTTAAGTGTTTTTTATTTTATCGACAAAAAACATAGCAGAGTATGACCTGTGTGTGCTGTTGGGTTTAGTGCAGACTAAACACGATAATATAATTGCATTTATGCAATGCATACTTTATTAGCTAAATTTATGCCTTGAAAAATCAAAGAAACCTAATGATCTCAGTTTATGATTATACTCCCAAATTATTAAGGGAATTAACTTTTAAATTATGTTTGAATGATTTTATATTAAAAAGTAGGCATTTCAAATTCAAATTATTTCATATAATCGGATGAGAAACTTTTCCTCTTAACTGATTGGACAAGCCATATTAGGGAACAATCTTGACACGCATGCGCACTTTGTAGCGTCACTTCTAGCTTAAGCAGAAAAAGTTTACGTTCAGCCTCCACGAGAGAACTTTATTTATCTTATAGTTAACCAGTATCTTATAGTTAAGCAGTTTACGGGATCAATTTCAAACCCATCCTCTTTTCACCCTTTTAAAAAAAAATCTTCATTTTCGGCGGATGTGGCGGATTTTTACAACCCCACTAGGGCTAAAGGTCATAATTAGATAATTAGCAAAACAGTGTGTATTGATGTACATTTTGTAATCTAGGTTATATATGTTAACTTGAGATCAAATGTACGCCATGTCATAATTTGTCATTAAATGTCACCTTCGGTGGCCATTTTCAACTATAATTAGCTGTTGGGTTATCTTTGAGTTGAAGGAGCATAAAATAATTTATATTATCTGGTTAGTATATGATATTTTTATTTGTTATATTTTGTTGGTTCCGGATGGAGGACAAGTTTCCATTTTTTAAACTATCCATCCCTATATAAGTAGTCACGTGATGTTTTGGTGTACTAAAGTAACGTAACCTGTGCAGATTTTTTTCCTTGCTGACATTTTGAAAAATCTCCTTAAAAAATCTGTTACCCTCCTCCTCCCCTAATTTGTATCCACCTTTATGTACTATTGTGTACAAATGTAATTGTTGCACATCTTTGTTTTAAATTTTGGTTCATTTGTTGTACATCTTTTAATTACAAATGGCGTTTATTTTGAAGCAAGCCCCATCATTTTTGGTTCTTTGTACACGTTAATATAAAAATCAACACAAAGATGTATACATATGTTCGATTCCTGGCATTAAGAATAAATGCTATTTTATCGACAAAAACACAGCAGAGTAGGACCTGTGTGTGCTGTTGGGTTAAGTGCAGACTAAACACGACAATATAACAGACATGAAGTTCAAGGGAGATAACCAATATATATATAACAGATCTACCTTAACGTTGGTGATACGTAACGCAGACACTGTCGCCGCCTGGTGGACAGCTACTATAACGTTATATTTGAATCCTTGCAGATTCAAAGCTGCCGTATTTTGGTAACTTCCTGTTTGAAAATAAGAAATGTACATTTCTAAATAGAAGTCGGATGGCAGAAAAGACTTGCTCGACAAATTGAAATTAAACGTAATATTAACAATTCCGGAAAAAACCGGACGCCGTCTGGGTTCCATTGTTTATATATTAGTTTGTACAGAAGTTACGATTTCCGGGGAGAGCCTAGTTCAGAAAGTTGCAATCTGATTAAAATCACATGTTACATGGCTTCGTTAACTTCGTACTACATCTGAGTGTGCCGCGGTCAGGGTCTTTACATTACATTTACGGCGATACTGCAAAGGGCCGTCGAACAGCATCAACTTGCAGGTAGACTTGTGACCTTTCAGGTGACCTTTATATTTATAAATACTCATTAAATTTTGCCCAAACAGAGACCCTCTTTCAAAATGGCGCTCGGAGATGTAACAAATATGTCGGACATTGATGAGAATGATGCGAAAGTTCTGAAGTTATTTGAGATCGTCTGAAACCCGAACAGAATAAAAATCGAAGCTTTATTAGAGAAGAAAGACTGTAAGGTGGTGTTTCCTACGCAATTATTACCCAATGGGTACGTTTTCCTTGGCGTCGTAGAAACGTCAGTTCCCGCCGCCTTATTCGTTTTGGAAACTAATCTGTTCGATACCCCTCGCTATTTATTAATCAACCATGATATTCCGATTCGCTGGCAAACTTTTGCCAGCGCGCCTCTGATTGGTTCATCTAGAGGTCACTTGAACGTGACCCTGACCGCGGCACATTCAGATGTTCAGGCGGAGCCATGTAACAGATGATTTTAATCAGATTGAGAAAATTGCATAAGCTGTCATGCACGCGTGTGTTGTGTGTGTAATGTTGTATACTACTTTATCCCACCTAACGGTAGCATGATAAATCATTTTTTATGAGTTGTCGGTATGAGATTACAACAGAAGAATTTGAGAACGTTTTGTTCTCACGACAAATCCTGAAATCACAGTGTGATAAACTATTAATACACACAAAATGTAACAAACACTTATCCATCACGCAAGCTAAAATGACGATCGAGCAATTCATCGAGACAGGTTTGGTGTCTGGAGAACTCACCTGGGATCTTGAAGGCGAAGTCTTGCCTGTTCGTGTAGTTGTAACACCTGCTGATGTCAAAGTCCCAGATCTTGGGTTTCTCTTCATCAAAGTTATAGGTGTTGTAAACCAGCGACCCATACTGTAGCAGAAACAAACAAAATTGTGCTATATTCCAAATCGCCGATATCGGCCATATATGAAAACGCGTGCCATTGGAAACACAATCCAAAAAAGGAGTAATGTTTTTAACCATTGAACTGCTTTCAGCATTCATGGGCAATATGAATGCCAACAAGACAAAGAATTATCCAGCATGAAGCGCAGAGTGGTAATTTCAATAAAGCGCACTAGCGCCTTGTGTTGGAATTGCGTTTGTCGGGTTATAATTCATAAAACAGGCCAGTTATCATTTTAACTGTCTATGAATGCCAACTGAAAGCAGTTCAGTACTTTACTTTACCGTTTTTTGAATCCGTTTTTACAAAAAAAAATCTATTATTTGGTATGTATTTCAAATAATGTACTCCTCAAGTATGCGTTTGGAATTAATAGAACAACCATCTGCCCAGGGTGGGCCAGAAGTACATATGTATCTAGCGTATGCCATCCGACGGTAAATATAATGCTTCATCTTATTTGCAATAGGAATTTGATAATTTAAAATGTTCAAAAGCATATTTTGAATAAATGCTACAAGACGAAATACAAATGTTACTGTTCAAAAATATTTTTTACTTACATTGTTTCTCGCAGTACCTTATAAGTTGCCAATGGAAATCACCTACATATATTTTAAACCGAATACAACTAAACTAGCCTTTACAATGAATACGTACATTATCCGAATGGACGCTGAGCATTAGAGGCATTCCGAACACATAGGTATGCCCAGTGCTTTCCCGCCAACCTTGCTGTGAATAAAAATGAACATACACGTAATTACAGTAATAGCTGAAAACGATGTTTGCTAATTTTGACAAAAAAATGTGTTAAATGTTGATTAAAATTAGCTGAATATGATAACCTAGAAAACATTAGGAATTATCAAGAAATGAAATTGTACATAGTGTTAATTTATCATAATGTTTGTGACGTAAAGTAAATGAACCTATTTGGTGTTTTTTCTACAGTGTTGTAACTAAGTATTTACATACGAAATCAAATATCTTAATAATAAGATATTTGACATCTGATTCAACCGATGAAAAAATATTTTTGACACCGGTTCTAGGAAGGTACCTTGATTCCTTGGGAAACATTCCAAAGAATTAAATGATATCGTGAACAGGAAAATGAAATAATATTTCAACATACTCGGCAATATATTCTAGATTCACATAACTATGCATTATAGCGTGTGTGACGTGTACGACAATGTGCATTATAGCGTGTGTGACGTGTACGACCCTATGCATTATAGCTTGTGTGACGTTTACGACATGATACAGTATAGCTTGTGTGACGTGTACGACACTATGCATTATAGCGTGTGTGACGTGTTCGACACTATGCATTATAGCTTGTGTGACGTTTACGACATGATACAGTATAGCTTGTGTGACGTGTACGACATGATACATTATAGCGTGTGTGACGTGTACGACACTATGCATTATAGCTTGTGTGACGTGTACGACACTATGCATTATAGCGTGTGTGACGTGTACAACACTATGCATTATAGCGTGTGTGACGTGTACGACACGGCATTATAGCTTGTGTGACGTGAACGACACTATGCATTATAGCGTGTGTGACGTGTACAACACTATGCATTATAGCGTGTGTGACGTGTACGACACTATGCATTATAGCGTGTGTGACGTGTACGACACTATGCATTATAGCGTGTGTGACGTGTACGACACTATGCATTATAGCGTGTGTGACGTGTACGACACTATGCATTATAGCGTGTGTGACGTGTACGACACTATGCATTATAGCGTGTGTGACGTGTACGACACTATGCATTATAGCGTGTGTGACGTGTACGACACTATGCATTATAGCGTGTGTGACGTGTACGACACTATGCATTATAGCGTGTGTGACGTGTACGACACTATGCATTATAGCGTGTGTGACGTGTACGACACTATGCATTATAGCGTGTGTGACGTGTACGACACTATGCATTATAGCGTGTGTGACGTGTACGACACTATGCATTATAGCGTGTGTGACGTGTACGACACTATGCATTATAGCGTGTGTGACGTGTACGACACTATGCATTATAGCGTGTGTGACGTGTACGACACTATGCATTATAGCGTGTGTGACGTGTACGACACTATGCATTATAGCGTGTGTGACGTGTACGACACTATGCATTATAGCGTGTGTGACGTGTACGACACTATGCATTATAGCGTGTGTGACGTGTACGACACTATGCATTATAGCGTGTGTGACGTGTACGACACTATGCATTATAGCGTGTGTGACGTGTACGACACTATGCATTATAGCGTGTGTGACGTGTACGACACTATGCATTATAGCGTGTGTGACGTGTACGACACTATGCATTATAGCGTGTGTGACGTGTACGACACTATGCATTATAGCGTGTGTGACGTGTACGACACTATGCATTATAGCGTGTGTGACGTGTACGACACTATGCATTATAGCGTGTGTGACGTGTACGACACTATGCATTATAGCGTGTGTGACGTGTACGACACTATGCATTATAGCGTGTGTGACGTGTACGACACTATGCATTATAGCGTGTGTGACGTGTACGACACTATGCATTATAGCGTGTGTGACGTGTACGACACTATGCATTATAGCGTGTGTGACGTGTACGACACTATGCATTATAGCGTGTGTGACGTGTACGACACTATGCATTATAGCGTGTGTGACGTGTACGACACTATGCATTATAGCGTGTGTGACGTGTACGACACTATGCATTATAGCGTGTGTGACGTGTACGACACTATGCATTATAGCGTGTGTGACGTGTACGACACTATGCATTATAGCGTGTGTGACGTGTACGACACTATGCATTATAGCGTGTGTGACGTGTACGACACTATGCATTATAGCGTGTGTGACGTGTACGACACTATGCATTATAGCGTGTGTGACGTGTACGACACTATGCATTATAGCGTGTGTGACGTGTACGACACTATGCATTATAGCGTGTGTGACGTGTACGACACTATGCATTATAGCGTGTGTGACGTGTACGACACTATGCATTATAGCGTGTGTGACGTGTACGACACTATGCATTATAGCGTGTGTGACGTGTACGACACTATGCATTATAGCGTGTGTGACGTGTACGACACTATGCATTATAGCGTGTGTGACGTGTACGACACTATGCATTATAGCGTGTGTGACGTGTACGACACTATGCATTATAGCGTGTGTGACGTGTACGACACTATGCATTATAGCGTGTGTGACGTGTACGACACTATGCATTATAGCGTGTGTGACGTGTACGACACTATGCATTATAGCGTGTGTGACGTGTACGACACTATGCATTATAGCGTGTGTGACGTGTACGACACTATGCATTATAGCGTGTGTGACGTGTACGACACTATGCATTATAGCGTGTGTGACGTGTACGACACTATGCATTATAGCGTGTGTGACGTGTACGACACTATGCATTATAGCGTGTGTGACGTGTACGACACTATGCATTATAGCGTGTGTGACGTGTACGACACTATGCATTATAGCGTGTGTGACGTGTACGACACTATGCATTATAGCGTGTGTGACGTGTACGACACTATGCATTATAGCGTGTGTGACGTGTACGACACGGCATTATAGCGTGTGTGACGTGTACGACACTATGCATTATAGCTTGTGTGACGTGTACGACACTATGCATTATAGCGTGTGTGACTTGTACGACACTATGCATTATAGCGTGTGACGTGTACGACACTCTGCATTATAGCGTGTGTGACGTGTACGACACTATGCATTATAGCGTGTGACGTGTACGACACTATGCATTATAGCTTGTGTGACGTGAACGACACTATGCATTATAGCTTTTGTGACGTGTACGGCACTATGCATTATAGCGTGTGTGACGTGTACGACACTCTGCATTATAGCTTGTGTGACGTGTACGACGCTATGCATTATAGCTTGTGTGACGTGTACGACACTATGCATTATAGCTTCAATTCAATTCTTTTATTATCGTAAGCAATACAGCTTATTGATGTTACATTACATGTATTATGCACAATAAAATGTCATACAAAGTCAAGTTCAAGCCATACACTAATAGGTATAGTCACTCATTTCATAGAAAAGAGGTGTGACCTAATTTCAAAAGCTTTACGCAATTATACAGTTCTGTAACATTTTCTGTACTAAGTCATTTCAAAGTTTATACATGGATGGCTTGCATCGGTAATAAGGTTTAAATAGTTTTGTCGGAGGAAATCACATTCTTTACAAATGAAAACAAAATGATATTCATCTTCTACTTCACTAGTACATATTCGGCATATACTGTTAGAAACAGTCTGCTTATTGTATCTTCCTGTTTCATTTGTTAAACAGTGCGCAGACAAATGAAAACTTGTGATTGACTAATTCCTCTTAACTTTTTGCATCCTATGTATTATAAACTGGTGAAATACACTCCAACTCCATCGCCTCCTATTGTGTTTTGTTTCACGTCCTATTTACAGCTAATGACATTTAAGGACGTGCCTCCACGTGTGTGATGTGTATGCGTGCATATATGTAGGTGTGCCGGGCCGGAAGAAAGCTATGTTGGTTCATTTGCCTTCTTGTGACAGCGAGGATCTGATGCCGACTTTATAGTGCTATCTCACTGAAATACCATGCCGAAGGGATCCAGCACAGCATTCCGCGCGCAGGGGGTCCTAATGTTGGAGGAAACCGGAGTACCCGGTGAAAACCCATCTGTTCGGCCAGGTAACCTCATACCTTTTCACTTCCGATCGGGAAATCGAACCCCGGCCGTCTTGGTGCGTTATCCACTGCGCCACCCGACCGACCTTCCCTTCAAAGTACAATGTACCTACCCTGGCGAAATACCATTCCCATGTAGAGTTTTGACCAGGGCTGCCCGGAGGCCAGTCCGTCCGAGTAGCGATCCAGACATCGGCGTCTATCCCTCTCACCTTTCTCTGTAACAGACGAAAGACACTGTATGTCCGGAAAACTCGCTTTCTCGTAATTCATTAAAAAAAAATTGGGATGTGGCCAGGAAATATGTATAGGGTAAGCCTCGAGAAAAATAGCCTTGTTTCATTTACCACCTTACTTAGTCAAAAACAAAATTTGTTTCAGGTAACATGCCTGAAAAATTATATTTTTATTTTAATTTTTCGAATTTTACATTGCCACACATTACAGTGGCTATATTATTTTTTTCAAAAATAAGGTCAGACACCCAGAACAAAAAGAAAGTGCATTTCAACGAGTGGCTGTGATTGACTAACAAATTAATCTTAGATAGAAGTAGGTGATACAATATCTAGGGTCGGCAGTAAAGTCTAGGAAAGGTCGGGATACCTGAAACACACAAAAAAAATGTTTTGGCCTTACCGCCAGGTTCAATGTTTCTTTTTCTTTTTTATATTCCTTTTAACTTTCCCTCGTTTAACCACCAAACCTTTTATAATGCCAATATTTCTCTTGACCAAAAAATGACGGTATACCGAGGTTTTATTTTAACGTCAGTACTTTATCGGGCGACTCGTCACACTTCCCGGCGGCATTATCAAAGTTAAATTTGGTGTAAATACAACTATTTTTGTAATCTTGTTAGCACCCTTTAGTGTAACACACAGACACAACGGACACACAGACAGCACGAACACGCAAACAGAGCGGAGACACAAACGGACCGGATACACAGACAGACCGGATACACAGACAGACCGGATACACAAACGGACCGGATACACAGACAGACCGGATACACAGATAGACCGGATACACAGACAGACCGGACACAAAGACACAACGGACACACAGACAGCACGAAACACAAACAGAGCGGAGACACAAACGGACCGGATACACAGACAGACCGGACACTCAGATAGACCGAACACAGAGACACAACGGACGCACAAACAGACTAAAGACACACTAACAGAGTGGAGACACAAACGGACCGGATACACAGACGGACCGGAGACTCAGACAGACCGGATACACAGACAGACCGGAGACACAAACGGACCGGATACACAGACAGACCGGAGACTCAGATAGACCGGATACACAGACAGAACGGATACACAGACAGACCGGATACAGAGACACAACGGACACACAGACAGCACGAACACACAAACAGAGCGGAGACACAAACGGACCGGATACACAGACAGACCGGATACACAGACAGACCAGATACACAGACAGACCGGATACACAGACAGACCGGATACACAAACAGACCGGATACAGAGACACAACGGACACACAAACAGACTAAAGACACACAAACAGACCGGAGACACGAACAGAGCGGAGACACAAACGGACCGGATATACAGTCAGACCGGAGACTCAGATAGACCGGACACACAGACACAACGGACACATACAGAATAGAAACACAGACATACCGGACACATATATAGACTCACCACTCCTTCGTACTGATAGGCTGCTTTATCAAAATTGAAGAATTCCTGCGACGTTCGGATCCTCACATGGTTCGCGTCTACGGCCTTGGAGTCAATATCACGAGCTGATATTGTAGTCAGCGTGCAGTTTCCAATAGTTGGGTCTTGGATGTAAGCGATACCTGAATTACACAGAAAACAATTAGTACAAAAATGAATCTACACTAGTAAAATACACCATCTTGGAATTTTAAGAGTTATCCACATCACAATCTTGATAGATGTTCGCTCAAACTTTTTCAAAATAAATTAAATTTGCAAAATGTACATCGATTTCTTCCATAATTTTTAAACATCGGATTTCTACAAGTCTAATAACACGGAGTCTAAGGATGTTGTCCTGGTAAGATCATTATGACAAATCTTGGTTGCAACGTTCTAACCATATAATATATAAATGTATGTTTATGATATAGGATTGAAACTACTTTCCGTTGATATAAATATAAATATAATATGTCATCTTGAAACTGTGCATTAATACATTTTAGAGAAAGTGTTAAATATCAGTTGTTAAATGTACATTGTCACTTACAATAAACAAAAATCGTACAACAAATTATGTTTGAACTAACTAAATTTATACCCCAACTTTTTTTGATTATGGAAAACTAAACCTTTAAATCTTCAAAAGTTCTGTAGAAATGTAAATACAAATATAGCAAACCTTCGGAGAAGTCATGGATCTCGGACAACAAGTCATGACCATACGGAGACGGGGTACCCGGGTCGGGTTGATAGTCGTAACGAACCATGTTCATATCTTTGGCGTACCATTCCTGTAATTAAAGCATAGCACAACACAGATCAGAAAGCAGAACTACCTTCAAGTGTTGATGATTGCGTCCCGTAAATCATAGCACAACACAGATCAGAAAGCAGATCTCCCTTCAAGTGTTGATGATTGCGTCCCGTAAGTTTTACAATAGTTTCTGTAAACATTCATTCCTAGAATTACATGTGCCGTCCGTTTTGTAACCTCGTTTTCGAAATACAGTTATGGTAGTGTAGATCATGCTTGTTGCTGTCTGTGCCGTTGCCAGCTCCTGCCATACAGAAACCCAATGCATCAATATGAAAATGTCTGTATGTATAATATATCGAAGCAGAATGCACCCAATCTGCTTTAAGGAACCCCGTACCACTGCTAAAACCTGTAACTACGTCTAGGAAATCTTATTTTCTGACATGATTATAAACCGTAGCTTTGCTAATTCATTTATGCAGAAAACATACCACGCGACACATTTATCCACCCCTGGAAAACGTCATAGCAAAATTGAAGGCACGAAGGTAGATACTTAATTGGTCTCGTTAAAAAAACCTGCCCAATCGCTAGGCTGATACCTGACCTTTGAAAATTACAAAATGATCGACACTCGACTTCAAAGCCTGTCAATTTTCACCGCTACGTGACCGCGAAATTCTTTTGATGTATAGTCTTCTTGTCTCATCAACAAGGTGGTTCACACCGAGCCTTCAATTCTGCTATGACATATTCCAGGGGTGTAGAGAGCGAAAGTGAGCGTAACACCTGGATATCGAGGATGACCAACATGATAATGTATCATGTCAACGTTCTCTGGCCCAATTGTGCTATAGTTATATCTAAAGCGAAATTTCATGAGGTGTGTGTATAATCCTAAACACAATTGTTGATTTTCTTTTGTTTATTCCATCTTTATAATTTTTCATAACAGTCCCGCAATATATTGTTTTCTTTTCAGAAAAGATTTATCCGAGCTATAGCCACGCCAAAAAAAAACACACCCAGTTTCCTACACTTAGTTACAGTTGTTGGTAGTGATAAGGGGAAACTTAATCTGACATATGCTTAATGACAGTGTCATCATATTAATTTTCATACAACCATTGGCATCGAACCCTTATCGTATTTGTCGCGTGTCAGTGTTGCTACGATACCTTGATAAATCCAATCGATGTGAAGTCGATGTTGAGGGTTTCCGCTGTGAAGACGAAGTAGTTACTTGGAGTCGGCAGCGGTTTTGTGTCTTTTCTGTGCGGGCAGGCGATTCCTGGTGGTGTCTATTGTGAAAGATAAACGATGATGTCATGAATTACTTAAATTATAACAACGTCGGGAAGATTATTCGGCTGATTTGTGCATCTCTTAATATTATTCCGTCTTTTTCGTAATTGCAGAGTTATCTTCTCTTGTGAGCAGGTATTGATTGTTACGTCATTTGTTTGTGAGAGTAACGTCATCAATTTTTGAGAAAAAGACGTAATTTTCTCATACAAACCAATGACGTTACAATCAATACCTGTTCACAAGAGAAGATAACTCTGCAATACGGAAAGACGGAATTACTGATTTTGTTAGCTTTTAAAACAAAAATTAATTATCATAGTTTGTCATTTAAAACTACAATCACTGAAGAAATTGTCAAATAAAATAACAAGCCCCCTTCAATCTCCAAAGGTTCAAGAAATTGCAAAATAAAATTTTAATTTCATTCTTAAATATAATAAATTCAAAGGTTGCGTTAGATTGTCATTAACCTTATCAGACTTTGAACAACTGATTTTTTTTTAGAAATAGACCACACGGCTAGGTATATATTCATGAAACCGTTCTCAGGCTCAAGCATGCGTTCTGCGCTCGAACAAAATTTCTTGTAATTTTGATGCTTGACTAAACTAAATTGTGATTCATTGAAATATGATATATTTCAGTGTTTTTCTTTGCTAGAAAATTTCTTCATAAAGTGACATGTATAAAGCATTAACTACATTATAAATCAGATCTTACATGAGTTTCCATTTCAGATGAAATGTATGAAACGAGTTTAATAATTTTTCAATTTAGCGAGATTCTGGCGAGCTACAACGAAACATTCGTGACGAGTTTCATAAATTTCATATGAAATGAAACGAGTGTATGATCCTTTTTTATCACATAATCAAGATCTGTGGCATTTATTCGTGTAAAACGACAATTTTCATGCAACCTTGAACTGTAAATAGCCGCCATTTTGGCTCCAGTGCGTAATTCTGTGACGTCATGTACTTGTCCTAGGCGTGACGTCACAATTGAAACCAATTGAAACTTACAATCAATCACAGGGCTGATAGGTCATATTACATGGGTTAATACGCAAAACAAATATGACATGAGTATATACTGGATAACACAATGCATTATGTGATAAATGTGTATGTCTTTAAGACCTAGTGCGTCAACAAGTCTAATGGCGAAAAAGGCCTGAAATAGTACAAATCGTTGAAACACTTGCCCCTAATACAAGGAACGAGAACTCTGTGTAAAGATTAAAAATGAACATGGCTTTTTGATTGTGGATAACAACTATATATAACATAATAATGATGGTAATAACCAGTTTTGTGGGACGTCACAAAGCGGTTCACAAATTATTATCCGTGGTTATAGGGCCTTTGCAACCAATCAATATATTTCTCAACTCACTAGGTAGCCTACAGCCGGTGCTGCCATTTCGGCGCTCACAGCTAACATTCAACAATTCTAGCACTGCGCAACCACGAACTCGTTTACAGCTGAGTAGACTAGAACAAGTGGAGCAAAGTATCTTGTTCAAAGATAAAACACAGTGCCCTGACGTGACTCGAACCCGCAACACTTCGGCCACGAGCCCGGCGTCCTACCACTAGACTACCGTGCCTTCATTTTATAATCTGATACTATCAAATTAAAAAGCAAGTTTGTACCTGAAAAGGATATGACGGCCCGATGGTGGTGCGGAACTCGTTGAACTCGTACGTGTGGTTGAACATGTGAGGCGTTCCCGACCAGACTTTACCGCTAACTTGACAGCGGAGGGGCGAAGGTAAGGTCTTTCCTGTAGCTGGATCCCAAGCTCCCGTATCTAGAAAAATATGGGTAACAATATAAGGATTGATCTTCATTTTGACGGCGTATACGGAAGTATGAACGCAGTTGGCAACGAACATATTATATGGTGCGCCCTGTTTGAATCAAGTATCAATCCGCCTAGCCTTGGCCACTGCGCATGCGTATACGCTAATTTATACGCAGTCAGAGTTAAGTCAGCTAAAGAAGGAAGAGATGTTACTATATAGATATATTCATATATTGGTTATGAAATCCCATAACAACCGACTTATCTACGAGGAATACGCTGTTGATTCGTAGAATATATCACTCCAGTGTGATGTAGACAGAGACATCTTATCTCGAGGGTTGAAAGTTAGGGAAATGCCACCCTCGGGATTTTCCTATTGACTCAAAACCCTATGCAGAGCCTAGAGTTCTACCTAATTTGAATACATGGGGTGGAACATTCCTATCTTTCACCCCTGCGCCTGAGTCTTGTAACCTTTTCCCAGCAAATACGGCTTGTACATATTAAGCGTTATCTTCTATATATAGTATAGGATTTCGACGATTAAGCGAACCACCTTCGAATGTACAGTTCAACATATTTACATGGCTGTAAAAACAATGTCAATTATATTGTAAGTTTTAAACGGTTTTTCAAATACTGAAAATAAAATACATTTAACGGCAAGAAATGGAGCGCCTTGTGGTATGCACCATTCTCCGCTAAATAACGAAATTAATCGAGTACCTTGACCTGATTTTGACAATTTTGAACTTGACAGCTGTGCCATACTTTTACAATGAGGGTTACGTCAAGTGAATCATTAGGTTGTAGCATACATGCATTTGTCTAGTTATAGTTACCAGGTGGATATCATCTAAATACAACCCATATTTAACGGGTTTTTTTTTTCAATTTCATTTCTCGTTTTCTCTTTACATGAAAGCACGTCAAATGTTAGTGGCTGTGCCGTCACATATTAATTGGTACCACGTCACAGGTTACTGGCTATGACGTCACATGTTATTGGGTATGACGTCACAGGTTATTGGGTATGACGTCACAGGTTACTGGCTATGACGTCACAGGTTATTGGCGCATGCTTACTTGTAAAGTACCAATGGACTTCCATGGTTGCGTCCATACCAGGCCAGTACATACAAGACTTCCAGTAGTCGGCGATGATGCCCCGAACTCTCGCAGTGCCCATGTACTGTTCATTTGTCCCATTGCCGAACCTGTAGTGAAAAATATATATTAAAAAAAAATACGTTCGCAACCGTTGGAAGCTCTCGGAAACTTTTACTAACTCGTCAAAAGATAATTTCTCCATAGGTTTATCGTAGAGAACTGAATTAATTACCTGTATTCAGGGTCCAAATCTATTAAACCCGTTGTCATGCTCAAACTAAAATCTGTGCTCGAATTCTGTCTTTGGCCGATTATAAATTTGTAAGAACTTAGCGGAGACTAAAAGCAAAATAGAGTTATTCCCCTTGTCCACTGTACCTTAGAGCTCCGGCCGCCGTGTAGAGTCTGCCCACTTGAGGGTTCGAGCTACTTGGCTGGTACCCGAAAATATATTTTGGTCCGGCAGTAGCAAGTGTGTCAGTCGTACAGGTCTCTGTGACAGGAAATATTTAATATATTTTTTTAAATTAAAATCTAGAGAGAACCAATTGTAATAAACGAATCAATTTTGATATCCTGAGCGATTCTCTTTTTACTCAAATCCAGTGCTTTCCTCTTAACGGCTTTTTTATGTTGTATCTATTTCAATAATTAAAAAAAACATAATTTTAAATAAATTATAATAAAAGTAACACCTCTCATTCCGGTAAATACATGTATATCGTTAAAGAAAATTGAAAGTGATATTGACCTCGATTTAGTCTGCGTTAGTATCTTATTCTCGGGTTCATATAACCACCTACTTTAAAATCATAAATTTTCGTGGGACAGTAAATTTCGTTTATTTCGTGGTTAACAAAATCCCCGAAATTAAATCCCCACGAAAACATAATTTTGGTATGATATAGATAGGTGAAAGTAAATGATTCTACAGTATTCACCTAAAAAAAGTTCATAATTGATAACGATATGATATTGGCTTCAGAAAACAATCCATACCATTGAGTGTCTTTTTATGGACAACAAGAGGCTATAGTCACCCTTGAATTTCCCAATTAAAGATCAGAATGTGTATGTAGTTTGGATATATTGAACTTGTTTATTAGCTAAGTCCTGTCATTTCTTTTTGATTATTTTTTTCAAATATTGTATATATATTCATTGTAATTTTCAAATATATTGTAATGTTTTTTTGTTTTTGTGTTATTACATTTTCCAAAATTTTATGACATAAACATATTTGTATTTATGGAAAGCATAAAGTAATTTATGGCATCTCTTTTTGTATTGTTTTTATTAGAATTATAATTAGTCCGGAATTAGTTTGTGTCTAATCCGGAGCTTATAATATACTCAGACATGCAGACCACGTGACGTCTGCCCAAGGCACGGTCACGTGACATCTTTGTTTTGATAACAGAAAAGTTAAATTGTTGTGACGGGATTGATTCGTAGATACCCGCCTCCTTCCCCAGTATTGCAATTCATTGTCCACCTTCAACTGTTTATCATATTAACTTTTAATTTGAATGTCAATTTCTATTTTCATTTAGAATTGTATTTGACTTTGTTATTAATTAATTGTGTGTGGCGTGTTAATGTCTAGATGTCCCCATCTTTTTTGCCAATGTCATGTATAACTTTACATATTGCTGATATTACTTTTGGTGGATGTACAATGAAAGTACACCATATTCTGGCATTTCAATAAATGCTCATTTTCGACTTATATTAGTCTTTGTGTTATTGATTGCAAAAAACATAGCAGAGTGACTCATGTGCAAGCGTGTTAGTATATATATAAAAAGATGATGGCATAAATATATATATACATACAATGTACATGGGCATCTATAATCGCCTTTGAATAATGTACATACTGTTCAAAATGTTCGAACAAGTATCAGTATTCGTCATACATATTTAAGGACTAACTTGAATATAGTTTTCATGTTATGGAGGTATAACACAAAAAAACGGAGTGTACTCTAAATAAACCGCGAAAAATATATTCAAGTCAATCCTTTTAATTTAATCTACTATACACATTCCCTGTGGGAATCCACTTTTATTGGTGTTCTCTTTTCTCTTTCAAATTATTACGCCGCTGTATAAGCCAATTAAAATCGCCGTTACAAACGGCGACGTAATTTTTTTTACGTTATGGGCTGATAACATATGTTTTTTTAAGCCAATGAAAATGTTTGTTACAAGCAAGATTATATTATATATTAACAAATAAGTTAAGGCCTGTCATTACTTTTGGATTACCTCATACAGTTCCTACGTGCGTGACATACTGTCCACTCTCGGAACACCTCGTACATTTTCCATGCATTCGTGACTTACTTGTTTGCGTCTCCACCGTGAAGAGTTCGTCGGTTCCGGGTGAGTAGATGCTTTGGACATGAAAACCAAGAAACCACTGATGCGTGGCGCCCTTATTTGCTACGCTGTCGTAGTACTCGGTATAATCAGTACTGTAGTTGCGGTTTTCAATATTAGCCTCTATTGATACCCTGTATGTTGACGGGAGCTGTGGACGCTTCGGTGTCACTAGAAAAAAACATTATGGTAGGTAGTCTCGTTCAACCGGACGCTTGATCGCTTGTAATTCTCTATTCGGCGTTTGCGCAGGCAACAAGAGTCAGGTTAAACGAGACTATATGGTAGGTGGAATTGCGTACGTTATTGTATGGTGATGCAATCACATAACTTCAGTGTATTACGTGCATTAAGTGGAAAACCCAGAATTATATAAACACTGCTGTGGACACAAGTTTAACTGTAGATTTCAGTGGTTTTAAATGACATGCACATGCACGCATGTACCTTAACTTAACAAAGCAAATTCCCCAAAAACAATTCAAACAAGGATCATTTTATACATATGTTAATTAAAACGGGGAGGTAGTTTGGAAAAAAGTTGCATAATCGGGTCAAGTTAGAGCAGATTTTTTTAAGTAATAAAAAGAGAAATTTAAAACACGAATAGAAAATCTGATCAGCATTCAACATTCAACAGCCTTTATGCATAGGTCTCTTAATTTTACAAATCTGGTAGTAATCAGATCTCATACGCCACCAAATGGCAGAGATAGTTTCAGATAGCAAACACATAGTTTAAATCTACAAAGAGTTATCGTTCTTACCTCACACTGAATTGTTCGTGGTTCATTATATATAATTACAATTGTACATAACAATATGAATAAACATTAACAAATCCAGAGCAGGGACGATTTTGGGAGGGGTTTCGGATTTCCATCAATAAAAATACCAATAAAATGCATGACTTTGAAATAATTCACTATGCTATGGAAACCTTCATGATTCGCCGTTACGGGAAAAGTCAATTTTATTTCATTTATTGACTGTTAATATAGCGCATGCGCAATGACTATAAAATAATCTACTAAGGGACATAACCACCATGACCATGAGTGTTGTCCTTTGGTTTTTATCCCACCTAAGGATTCGCGATATAAAACCCGAGTGTCACATACTCTTGATATTCTTTGATGAAATATATACACACTTGATATTGAATCCTGACAGGTGATATCAATATATATTACCCGTCTAAAACAACAGGTACCTATTGCGAATGAGCAAAACTTACATAGAACGATAAAGAATCTATCCAGAAACGAAAACATGAGTTATCATCTTCAACAAATTAGTGTTTTTATATATGTTTGCTTATCCGCGATAGGTACCTGTGCAAAATCTCAAATAATAGTCATACTACTCGTGTCAATTGAACGCTTTTGTAGATAGCGTTCATAAAAATTGTCTCTAAACAGTGGTCTGGTTTAAACGTTACACATTGCAATCATCAACTAATTTACTCACCGGAGTTCGTGATTGAGGCGGGGTTACAAATAGAATTATCAATTCCATGTTTCGGTCCATCTGTGTGCCCAGGCTGAGGCACATACAGGACACAAAGAAACAGCAAGGCAGATCTGTTATAAGTAAAAATACATGTTTATTTAACCCAACAATTTCCTCAAAGGAGTTATCTAACTTAATCCTACATTGTAACAAAATATCCATTGTCTATGTATCGTTACAGCAGATCGGTATTTGAGGTTTTTATTTGTTTGGTTTTATCGTCTTCCCAAAATATCAGGCCGAGTGTGAATTTTGTGTTACAGTGATACCATTTGATTGAGGCACAGTGATGACATTTGGTTGGGCACAGTGATAACATGCCTTTGGGTTACAGTGATAACATTTGGTTGAGTTACAGGGATAACATTTGGTTGAGTTACAGGGATAACATGCGGTTGGGTTACAGTGATAACATGCGGTTGAGATACAGTGATAACACGCGGTTGAGTTACAGTGATAACATGGCGCTGGATTACAGTGATAACACGCGGTTTGGTTTCCGTGATATTATGCGGTTGTGTTACAGCGATAACGTGCGGTTGTGTTACAGTGATAACATGCGGTTGTGATACAGCGATAACATGCGGTTGTGTTACAGCGATAACATGCGGCTGTGTTACAGCGATAACATGCGGTTGTGTTCCAATGATAACATGGCGCTGGATTACAGTTAAAACATGTGGTTGTGTTACAGCGATAACGTGCGATTGTGTTACAGTAATAACATGCGGTTGTGTTACAGCGATAACATGCGGTGGTGTTACAGCGATAACATGGCGCTGGATTACAGTGATAACATGCGGTTGTGTTACAGTGATAACGTGCGATTGTGTTACAGTGATAACATGCGGTTGTGTTACAGTGATAGCATGCGGTTGTGTTACAGCGATAACATGCGGTGGTGTTACAGCGATAGCATGCGGTTGTGTTACAGTGATAACATGCGGTTGTGTTACAGTGATAGCATGGCGCTGGATTACAGTGATAACATGCGGTTGTGTTTCAGCGATAACTTACGATTGTGTTACAGTGATAGCATGCGGTTGTTTTACAGTGATAACATGGCGCTGGATTAAAGCGATAGCATGCGGATGTGTTACAGCAATAACATGTGGTTGTGTTTCAGCGATAACTTGCGGTTGTGTTACAGTGATAGCATGCGGTTGTGTTACAGTGATAACATGCTTACAGCGATAACATGCGGTTGTGTTACAGTGATGACATGCGGTTGTGTTACAGTGATAACACGCGGTTGTGTTACAGTGATAACATGGCGCTGGGTTACAGCGATAACATGCGGATGTGTTACAGCGATAACATGGGGTTGTGTTTCAGCGATAGCATGGCGCTGGATTACAGTGATAACATGACGCTGGATTACAGTTATAACATGCGGATGTGTTACAGCGATAACATGTGGTTGTGTTTCAGCGATAGCATGGCGCTGGATTACAGTGATAACATGCGGTTGTGTTACAGTGATAACATGCGGTTGTGTTACAGTGATAACATGGCGCTGGATTACAGCGATAGCATGCGGATGTGTTACAGCGATAACATGTGGTTGTGTTTCAGCGATAACTTACGGTTGTGCTTCAGCGATAACATGCGGTTGTGTTACAGTGATAGCATGCGGTTGTTTTACAGTGATAACATGGCGCTGGATTAAAGCGATAGCATGCGGATGTGTTACAGCAATAACATGTGGTTGTGTTTCAGCGATAGCATGGCGCTGGATTACAGTGATAACATGCGGTTGTGTTATAGTGATAACATGGCGCTGGATTACAGTGATAACATGGCGCTGGATTAAAGCGATAGCATGCGGATGTGTTACAGCAATAACATGTGGTTGTGTTTCAGCGATATCTTACGGTTGTGCTTCAGCGATAACATGCGGTGGGGTTACAGTGATAGCATGCGGTTGTGTTACAGTGATAACATGCGGTTGTGTTACAGCGATAACATGCGGCTGTGTTACAGCGGTAACATGCGGTTGTGTTCCAGTGATAACATGGCGCTGGATTACAATTAAAACATGTGGTTGTGTTACAGCGATAACATTTGTTTGTGTTACAGCGATAACATGTGGTTGTGTTTCAGCGATAACTTACGGTTGTGTGACAGTGATAACATGCGGTTGTATTACAGTAATAACATGCGGTTATGTTCCAGTAATAACATGCGGTTGTGTTACATCGATAACATGCGGCTGTGTTACAGCGATAACATGTGGTTGTGTTTCAGCGATAACTTACGGTTGTGTTACAGTGATAACATGGCGCTGGATTACAGTGATAACATGCGGTTGGGTTACATTGATAACACGCATTTTGGTTTCAGTGATATTATGCGGTTGGGTTACAGCGATAACATTTGGTTGTGTTACAGCGATAACATGCGGCTGTGTTACAGCGATAACATTTGGTTGTGTTACAGTGATAACATGCGGCTGTGTTACAGCGATAACATTTGGTTGTGTTACAGTGATAACATTGCGCTTGGCTACAGTGATAACATGGCGCTGAATTACAGTGATAACATGCGGTTGTGTTACAGTGCTTACATGCGGTTGTGTTACAGCGATCACATGGCGCTTAATTACAGTGATAACATGGAGCTAGATTACAGTGATTACGTGGCGCTGGATTACAGGGATAACATGGCGCTGGATTACAGTGATAATATGGCGCTGGATTACAGTGATAACATGCGGTTGTGTTACAGCGATAACATGCGGTTGTGTTACAGCGATAACTTGCGGTTGTGTTACAGTGATAACATTTGGTTGAGTTACAGCGATAACGTGCGGTTGAGTTACAGCGATAACATGCGGCTGTGTTACAGCGATAACATGCGGTTGTGTTACAGCGATAACTTGCGGTTGTGTTACAGTGATAACATGCGGTTGTGTTACAGCGATAACATGCGGTTGTGTTACAGCGATAACATGCGGTTGTGTTACAGTGATAACATTTGGTTGAGTTACAGCGATAACGTGCGGTTGAGTTACAGCAGGAGTATTCTTTCCCCAAACCTGCAGGGATGTCCTTTTTCTTTCTTTATGCATGATCAAGTTTAACGAAACCAGAGAATTTTGTGTTAACCATTTACATTTGCTCAGCATCTTATCAAGCAATGCTTAGAAACGACCGCAGTCTTGGGATATTTCAATCGGGAGAGGGGGGCAATTGAAAGTGGGGTCAAAGGTGGTGACCAGTTTGCTGACGAGGAAAAGGGGGAGGGTCTAAAGCGACAAAATCCCCCTCCCTCGATCCCCCCCCCCCCCCTCCATATTAACACACACACACACCCTAATCCCAATCCAGCAGAAGACAGAAGAGAAGAGAATGGTTTTCCCTGTCCCAGCCAGACTATAGTTGTAGCTAACGCCATTCAGGGGAGGTTACTGTATGTATGAGAATCACAGTAGAATTCTCAAATGTTTTACGTGTAATAGTGTTATAGCACATGGAGCCTTAATGTGTTCGTATCAATCAGACAAAATCTATGTAAAGCAATCTCATGAAATGTTTGAAGTTTTCCATAAAAAAGGAATATTTCGTGACCTGTTTTGCATTTTTTCATTAATTTTCTCTGCACAATTCAACATCTTAAAAACATGTACATGCATGCTTGTTCTTTGTTCGGTTTTAGATTTGAGCTATCATTGACATGTGTGATAAACTTCAGGTCTAAAAACGAAAGCGACATCTCAAATCACATACAATGGTGTTTTGGTCAAGGTACATTCCATAGGAAAAGTCCTCCGGTGGAGTCTTGCATGGGCAACAATCTCCATTTATAACTGAATCGTTCAGATTGTAGACGAGAGTTAAAAAAAATATTTTGCAAACACGGCTTATAAGACATATATAACGAAAAGTTGATGTTGTTGACAGGATACAATTATCTTAATTCAGAAAATATTCATGGAAAAATAATAGAGATTCATACCTGAACCGGAATCTTATCAACAAAATTTACTAATTTACAAAGATATCAGCGAATATACAGTTAATATCAATAAAGGAAACAAAAAAACATGTCATACGAAATAAATATAACAATAATAATCCTACCCTGAAATATTAAATATACACTAAACAAGATAAATATTACCTATAGGTGGCCATGAGGCGTAGGTCCGCCATATTGAAATCTCCACGGGATGTAGGGCCGATTGTCCAAAGTACGGCTACAGGCGCTGTCCTGTAATATACGGGTACTGCTCGGAGGTGGTTATCACACAGGGACCTGACACACTAAGTTTTAAGTCACACTGCCCGTATATATAAAAGTATATGCATTCATTGTCTTTGAACTGTATAGGTTTACGGTGTTGACTTTTATCAATTTGTCTGGCCCCTGTGTCGTACGACTAGCCCGTTATCGGGCCGGCAATACAGGGGTGGGTGTTATCATCTTGTTATCAAATGTGACACAATTCTACAACTCTATTTTATGATATAATATACATCACATCACAGTCTCAAACAAACACATGACCGATTCAGAGGAGTGGTAACCTTTAGGACCGTCTTAGTGTTAATAATGAAAACAAAATTAAAATTGGAGGGGAAACATCCTGTGGTTATGATCTATTATCACTGAGCAAAATAGAAAATTCAATTATTGCTGCGATGATTCCGTTTTGAGATATGAGGGGTTAAAGCATATCATGTGCGAAGATATTATTAACCACATACATGACAAATGAAATGTTCTGGTTAAAGATGACACTTTGATAACATTTGACTATGATCAAAGGTTATATGTCCGCATGGGAAGAAGTGAGATAAATAATGTACATAAAGATTGTATTGTCATCGATAAAAAACTATTGATTCATGATGGATAATTTTAATTTATTAAACGTATATTAATGTATAAAACGAGGTTATTGCATTGTATAAATTTGTTTTCACGGTTCGAACATTTTAACATTCATAGAGTCATGAAACGCGTAAGGAAACTCGTTTAATACACCTATTTAGTGATCTAAATGTAAGAATTTTGCAAAGAACTTAATGTTGATGTATTCCCTTCCCTGTATTCCAGTGTACTGTGCACTATTTCAGGTATTTCCTTCACGATTGTCTAGTTTACAACATAACTAAACAAGATGTTGGTTTCTCCCTTAACTACTGTCCAGTAAATAAGGAAGTTGACGTGACTTTATGTACACATTCCTACAGCTGTTGTGTGGTGAAGTGTTTAACTGGACGAGATGATATTTAAATACTCCTCATTGTTGTTTCATGGAGGGGAATACAAAAAGTGAAAAAATCCGTTTTAAAAACTCGATTAAGGTAGTAAAAGAACGTGTGGAACATTGAGAGGTTCTTGAACATTTTTTCATTATTGCGTGTCTGTAATATAATCCAAACGTGTCTTTCAAAGTAATAAACAGTTGTGATCGGAACGCACGTGTACGGTAGTCTGGTGTTAGGACGCCCTGCTCCTGACCAAAGGGTGGCGGGTTCACGTCACGGCTCTGTATTGTATCTTTGAACAAGATTCTTTACTCCGCTCTTTCCAGACTACTCAACTGTAAATGAGTACGTGGTTGAGCAGTTCTAGAATTGTTGAATGATATAGCTGCGAGCGCCGAAATGGCAGCTCCGGCTGTTTGATGTTTGAAAAACCTTCATAAAGTTCATACACATATTGCAGTAGAAATAAATTGTAATGGGGACAATTACAGATGTCCCCCAAACACCCCCACCAAAATAAATTCCGAAAGAGCCATAATATATATATATATATATTTTTTTTCTACAAGTTTTATTGATACATAAAACAACAACACCAAAAACGTCCACTCACTCACATACATTGTGATGCCATTACCTCCATCATCCTCATCATCATCATCTCACATACATTGTAATGTTATTACCTCCATCCTCCTCCTCCTCCTCCTCCTCCTCATCCTCCTCATCATCATCATCATCGAAAGAGCATAATATGCTTACACACCAATTGGAATGGCATCACCTTGGCGTACACCTACAAATGTGTTAATAAATCAGGTACCGTGTCGGCCGTCTTGGATGCGCAGCTGTTAAAAAAAGGCGTCCTGCAATTGTTATAAGTACATCATAAAGTGATTGCACTATCAGTCCCCAAAGTTGGCTCCGACCATTTAGCTAGAATTCACTCTGGCACAGTTTACATGAAATCTGTTTAAACACTGAGTACAACAGAGGAATCCTCATGGACAAACGGGCATGTGGGCAGTGAAACAGGTAGTTTGCATTGGGTGACTAAATTCTAAAAGATGCTTCCCTTTTCGCAAATCCAGTGACTTTATTTTGAAGGGGAATTCAAACAGAGGGGTATGTATGTATGTATGTATGTATGTATGTATGTATGTATGTATGTATGTATGTATGTATGTATGTATGTGTGTGTGTGTGTGTGTATGTATGTACAACCAAACAAATAAAATATAAAGAAAAGAATGTACAAACGAACGAATGAAAAATAAAGTTTGACGAATGAAAGCCCTCTTGTATGAGGACCAATATTTGTAAGGTTTACTGAATCCATAGCCCCAACTCTGGCTGTAATCATATACTTAAAAACTTGAAAATAAATGTTAAAAAAAACAACAACAAAAACAAACAAAAAAACCAATTTACTTTAAAAGGTAAACAAAGATTGTCTATAGAACACTATACATATAACTTTGAGGGATAACAGAACTGCCAAACAATACACTAAACTACAAACACAATATATCTAACTTCGGTTATGATATAAAGTGGAAATACTCAATATTTTGCCCCCGCATTTGATATGTAAATTTATCTACCACAAACTTAGAGAAATGTGCATTTTTCGGTTTCTTTTAACAATAACCTAGATATATGTTCCATTGATGTATTGTAATCTGCCACAAATAATTGTATCAAAATATAGACTCAACATTAGTATACATCACAGTTTGCAAATTATGTATATTATTGTACAGATTCCGTTTTTACAGGAATGGTGAAGATTTTGTACCCAATTGTTTCGTAAATAATGTCTTTGGATCGGAGTCTAACGACCAAGCAACAGTAAGGGTCATATAAAGATGGTAGCCTAGGGACACACCGCTGGAATGAGAGAGGGGAGAAAGAAAAAGAAAGTTAGATAGAAAAGATAGGATAAACAAATCTCAAATGTTGCAATGGTTGCAACAAATACATTTAGGTTTCCTCCGCAGAGAAAAAAACCCTGAGCTGTATGGACTCCCCCTCCCTCCCACACACACACACACACACACGCACACACACATTAATATCTTCTTACAATACACATTCAGAGCGACACAACAGGTCTATGCTGAGTTTCTCCATTGTCCACCTAACAAAATAATATAATTACGGAAGCAACCATCCTAGATTCTACAGGAGGTAGAGGCACATATAAGTCGCCTCCTACGGTCATTTATAACGTATGCCCATGTGTAATATTAACGTGTACGAGCACTAGTGAAATCTAATCTGATGTAAAGGGTTTATCGGTCGATGAACAAACATCACGGGGCCCTGTTATCATAGGTACAAGTGTTATCTCTCAAACGTAGCTTATCTTGCTTGACTTGTAATTAAAACAACTACTTGGAGCAGGGACGTAAGACATACACACATGTGACTACCCCTATAAAATCCTGGTACCATCGTAGTTTCCTCCTACACTTATATCTTGTCAACGCTATGCGCACGTATGCCTGCGCATCACTTCCGGTCGGAACACAATAGGTAGCTGTCGGTGAATGATAACATTGTTCAACAGAATGCCAGTCGATATTTTGTCGGCATAATTATAGCTTTGATCAATTATTTCCGGTATGACAATAGCTTTAATCAATCGTTTCTCAAAAGAAAACCATACCTGGTGGAAAATAATTGGAAAATAAAATATAAAAAATATAATCAACAGCAGTGTTCTGAGTGAAAAATCAGCGTGGCCAGACATGGATTCAAACCCTAGACCTCAAATTGGTTAACATTTGCACTAACTTAGTCTGATACCTGAAGATTTTTTGCAAGATTGCGCTACATTTATTATAAACGAAATTAAGGGGGCGTAACTGTTTATACAAAAAAAAACACAATGGAATATCTCATGGTTTTTTTCATGTAGTTGGGCAGAGATCCTTAAGGTCTTTTAAATATAAAATCGTCTATATAATCATACAGAATGATAACTCATCCTACAGCACATGCGTATCGGTACAATGTGTATGTGTGGATAAGAAATGTACGAGTGTTAATCCATCCTGAATATATCTTCTGCTTTCCCGGCCACTCGAAAGGTCGGTTCAGGAAAGGTTGATTGAGGTCATGGCCTACTCCATATCTGAGGAGATTTACTCTGGGTGGTATGTTACGTTATCATTGTGTAAGGTCCGTAGTCCTAACATGTCTTTTCACAATCTCATTATAGTTTGTGTTTGCACTACGTACGTACGTACATGTACCACGAACCAACTTTAATGCCTATCCCTATATATCGAGAACGGAACCTTTGCATTTGGAAACAGTTAATAACAATAATGAGTTTTTATGGAAATTTCCTTCATTTCGCTTTTTCTGATATGTGATGCAATAATTAATTTTCGTTGTCTTGGTAATTGACGTGTAAAAACAATGTGAACAATTATTAATTGTAATAGGTAAATATTACAGATGTCCCCCAACAAACCCGCCAAATAAAATGCGACAGAGCCATAATATGCATGCAAACAATGTACCCGGTTTAAGCAATATTGGACATAGAGAGGGACCAATGGCATCACCTTGGCGTACACCTATAAATGTGTTCATACATTGGATGCTTAGCTGTTGAAAAAGGGTGTCTTGCACATCTAGGCACACGCCTAAATACTCCTGTGTAGTTTTCCAACTTATAGAGTCTGAGAAAACGCGCGGACACCATTTTACGGCGGAAGAAGAAGAAAAAAAAGGAACGGAGTAAAACAAATATGTCCCCCACTTCGTTTGGGGGGACGTAATTAATTTATCATAAAAATTACGAAAATTACGAAAGCAACCTGCTACAGATACTAATCTGTTTATGTATCTAATTATTTATCTATTTAATTTTTTGCATTTTTTTCTATAGATGTATCAGGCTAAAACATATCACTTACCCATGTCCTTCGATCTTCTCTTGTTTGAAAGTTGTGTGAGGAAGAAACGTTAATTCTTTATGGCAATAATTACCAGGCCTGAAGCAATGTTGACATGG